AGGAGAGGGATAGTTGAGGTCATTCTGCAAGGCATGGAAGATTCAGGAGGTTCAGCAGCATGGAGAAGCAGGCTCAGTGGATATGATGGCAGTAAAAAAAGAACATATGCATCTTCACAGTATTATAGCGAAATATGTGATGCAGGACAGATAGAATATTGATGAATCTAGTCTTGTCATCTTTGCCATCTCAGATCATATCTTGGCATCTGGTCCTATGAGTGGATGAAAACAGGACAAGTTCTGCATCACCATGTTTTTTGCTGTGAATGCAGATGGGAGTGAGCAAATGCCAGTTGTTTTCATTAGCAAGTCAAAGCAATCACAGTGTTTCAAGAAAAAGAGTCTAACAGCAATGGAATTCTATTATCGGAATAACAAGAAGGCCTGGATGATGAGTGAAATATTTATAGAGTGGGTGAAGATGTTTGATTTAAAGATAAAGAGGGAGATGCAGCAGGTTCTGCTGATCTTGGACAACTTTCAAGAGCATTCCATTGCTTATACACCCCATAACACAAAGCTGGAGTTCTTTGAGCCCAATATGACTCCATATGTTCAGCCACTAGATGCTGGTATTATCTGCTGCTTCAAGGCACATTATCGGAATGCTATATGTATCCATGCACTTGATTTCGATGATCTTGGAGAGTCTGAGATCTTCAAGCTTGATCTTCTTGAAGCTATGACTATTGCTCATGATGCTTGGGCAAATGTCAGTAGTGAAACGATAGCAAACTGCTGGAAACACACTAGTATAATGCCTGACAATGCATCTGAGTTACAGTCTACCACACCATCCAATGATTTCCAAGATGCCTCACTCCTCAAGTCTGCATAGAACCTTGTTCATAACTTTGCCTCAACAGACAAATACATGCTTCCAGGGATCAAACAGACATTGCAGGATCTGCTTGGAAACCAATATGCTGATGCTGACTGGTGTCCTGCTCTTATGGCTGTTATAAATGCAGAGAATGATGTTGGTAAAGCACTGGAGGCAGTCAATCAGTTGGCTTCTTCATCACAGTCAGAAATAAACACATCTCCCACCCAAATTGCCCCCATTCAACAGCTCCAGACAGCAGAGATAATGTTGAAGGACCATCTTGTCAAATTGAAACAACAAAATCGCATGTTTGGTCCCATTCCAACCATTGAAGAGATGGTTAACTCTATTGCAGAAGAGTATACTGAAGATCTTGAGACAATGCCAACAGATGAGGAGATTGTTGCTGCTGTCAAGCATGATATTGCAGTAGAAAATGGGGAAATAACTGTCATTGACGATGATGAGGAGAAAGAAGAGGAAGAGGAGGGTGAGGAAAAACAGACCTTGATAACTACAAGGGAAGGATTTGAGCTTATTCAAAAGCTGGAGGCATTTTGTGTTTCACAAGGTGACCAGAGTGGATTAGTACCACAGCTGAGGAAGTTGAGAGGGGCATTATTCAAGAAGATGCATGGAAAGCTGACCCAAAAGCCACTGACAGCATTTTGGGGAAATGACAACATTGTCACATAAAGTCACATGTCACATCACATGCTATTTTGGTTCTGCATAAATCTATAAATGCATATGGTTTTGGTGTCTCCTGACCATATGCATTGTGAGATAGTCAACTGTATATCTAAAATCACATTCTCATAGATTCTTTTCCAAACATAACACCCTTCACAGAATGGAATCCAGATCATCAAAAATCAGATATATTTCACTTTTGTGTGTTTAGATACCTTGCATATATGCTGATTTGAAGGAAAAGACATCAAGCATTGGAGTCACACACTCAAAAATATATCTTTGTTGGGTATCTAAAGAGAGTAAAAGGCTGGCTATTCTGGAACCCTTCTATGCAGTAATTTATTACCATCAGCTATGCTGTATTTGATGAATATGTATTTTCTGAAAACCACAGAAATATTATAAATCCCCTCAGTGATGATACACCTCTCACAAATAGATATAACAGCATAGATACTGCTGTATCTGATGTGACAATGCCTCATCAAGAAAGAGAGAATATAACTACTGATAAGCCATCTCTGCTATCTGAGCAACTCTCATCACCATCATCCTTGCCATCTAGGCCAGCTCTATCTACTCTACCAAATATGCAAACATCTCCAGAACTATCTCTTACTCTACTATTAAGCCTTCCAATATCTCCTACACTCTCTTCACCACTCTCATATCTTCAAGCATGCTTCAAGCCACAATATAACTCTAAAGGCCTTATAATTCCATCTTCAAACACTGGATGTGATTTTTGCTATAAACATTCTGGCACCAATGTAATGAACTCACCAGACTCAGATGAACCTGTTTCCAATCCCATTGATGAAACCACTGCTGAACCAGAGCTTACTGAGATAGATGTTGTCACAGAAATAACTTTTATATTGCATAATGATGACTATATCACATATACAGAAGCTCTCAAACTTGCATTTCAGACAGCAGTGAAGATGGCAAACTAAGCATCTGCATCCAATAATGAGCCAAAGACATTTGCAGAGGTGATGACTTGGCCAAGAGAGGAAAGTGAAAAATGGTATGAGGCAGCTCAGCAGAAATTGAATGCACTGCAGGAAAGTGGCATCTTTGAGCTCATGAAGCTCTCTCCAGAGCAAAAGGCTATAGGTGAAAAGTGGGTCTTTAAAGTGAAGCATAATCCTGATGGATCCATTGAATGCTATAAGGCATGCTATATTGCAAAAGGGTACTCACAGTAGTCAGGTTCTGACTACACTGAAACCTTCTCTCCTACTCTAAAATAGGCAGCCATCCAAACAGTCCTCACTCTTGCTGCACTTGAGGATCTGGAGCTCTAGAGTGTGGACATCTCATCAGCATTTCTGAATGGTGATCTGAAAGAGGAGATATACCTTCAACAACCAGAGAAATTCAAGACAAAGGATAAGAGCTGAATACTTCATCTCTTCAAGTCCATCTATAGACTGAAGCAGACTGGGCATTAGTGGCACAAAAAGCTCCACAGTGCTATGACTGAGATAGGCTTTGACAGAGTATGCTGTGAATACAGCATATAGGTGTATAAGAGAGATGATGCTCAGATTATCATTCCTGTGTTTGTTGATGATGTAACAATTGCTGCAAAGTCTATGGAGTCTGCATAACATGTTGTTGATGATCTCAAGAAGCACTTCAAACTTCATGATCTAGATCCAACTTCATTCCTCCTTGGTGTCAAAATACATAAAGATCATCTAAACTGAACACTCACACTCTCTCAACCACAGTACATCCAAAAAATCCTAGAACATACTGGAATGTCTGACTGTAACAGTGTCAGTACTCCTCTTGATCCACACACTAAGCTATCCAGCTTGATGTCCCCTGCTACTCCAAAGGAATGAAAAACCATGTGGCACATCCCATATCTCCAGATCCTTGGCTCTGTGGCATACTTGGCCATCACCACCTGTCCTGACATAGCTTTTGCAGTCAGCATCCTATCATGGTTCAGCAAGAACCCTGAATTGAGGCATTAGGAGGCCTTGAAGCACCTCCTCAGATACTTAAGGAGAACAATTGACCTAAAATTGACATATTCATCTGATACTACAAATCTAGAGCTGTTCAAAACATACACAGATGCAGATCATGATGGAAACCCAGACAATAGGTGCTCAACCTCAGGATATGTTGTCAAGATGGGCACAGGCACAGTCAGCTGAATGAGCCAGCTACAATCTATAGTAACCTTATTGACCACAGAGGCTGAATATGTGGCTGCCATCTCTGCCAGACAGAAAATTCTGTGGTTGCAAAATCTGTTCACAGAATTTGGTTTCCATCATCTGTTGCCATCCCCACTGCTGATTGACAACCAGTCTGCTCTCTCTGTTGCTCACAATCCTGATCATCATGGTCATGTCAAACACCTCAACCTCCACTTCTACTGGTTACAAGACAAGGTTGAGCAGAGACACATATATATTGAACATCTTCACACAGAAGACATGCCTGCTGACATCTTCACAAAAGCCTTGGAGAAGGAGAAGATGACTCACATGATCAGGCTGTTGGGTCTTGAACTCTGAGAAGTATTGTGTTGAGGGCAAATGTTGCAGGATGACACAAGTACCTGATGTCAACCTTATATAAGCATAGACAGTTTTTGTCCTGAGTCAATGGTCAATTGCCTCTTAAGCAATTGACCATCTTACTCAGGTGAGTAGTAGTCATATGTATCTCAATCCATAAGCAATTGACTGTTGTACTCAGCCTGGCCATTATTCACTGCCTAAAATAACCTGCCTGCAGCAAAAGCATAGTCATACAGTCTGCCGGAGGTCTGCCAATGGCATCATGGGAGAAGCTTCAGTTTCAGCCAAGCATACCAGCAATAGAAGACATACAGCAGTTTTTACTTAAAAGCTGTCTGCAGAAGGACAGGAAATTCCCCAATTTTGACAAACCAAGATCAGGCATGGAGCTCAGAGTCAAATGCCTACTTCACTTTTGTCATTACCATCCATGTTATATTGTCCCCACTGATGTTGAATCATTCAAGCTTACTGCTGTGATTCAGTCCGTATCTGTCCCGCAGGACATGCAGGCTTGCCGGATCAGGCTTCATTTTTCAGGGATATTATATGTCTCGACTGTTCTGTGAAGCTGCCGCCGCTTTGTTGGACTCAGCTTATGCGTGTTGCATGTGGTGGAGGTTACTTTATCTTCAATTCCATTGATGGTGATAATCGCGTCAATACCTTTCCTCTTCATCTCAGCTCTGCCATATTGTGTTCTTTTGATGCATTACAAAAGGGAGTAGAGCAGGATTTTACGTCTCCGATAATTCTTGAATTCAAGGATGCGGTGCCTTATTTTGCGGAGAAGATCTACTACCATGTCTTCGACATGCTCTCTCAGCTTACTGGAGATCCACTGTTGCTCCAGCTTTCGGTTCCCTTATATCTGAGTGGCGGCCATCAAATTCTCACTTCTCAGACTTTCTCTCCCCGAGTCTGATATGTTTCATACCACGATTAACTTCTCGTTAGACTTTGCCGTTAAGTGGATCCGTGCCCACATGTTTTCATTCCAAGAAGCCACCGCTATCACAGCAGTACTTGAGGATATCCTTGCTGCTTGTGCCATCCATGTGCACGATGAAGTCCCAGGGTGGAACGAATTATACTACGATAGAATCTTAGCCTATGAGCGTTTGATCCTCGTCTCTCCCACAGCTTGCTCTTTTCGTGACCTCCAGTTAAAGTTGAATATTATGGCTGTCAGTTGGAGTCGCAGAGAGGCTGCCAACCTGACACTGCATGTAATATCCTAGCTGTCGCTCTGGCACAGCGTGTTCCTGCAGCTTACGACGTGTTCCTTCAAAATCAATGTCTCCAGTATTTTGGAGTCCGTGCGCTTCATGTGGGATGGGTTCGAGTCATCTGCGCGTACTGTACTGGAATTTCCGCCATGATGTTACAAGGATTGGATGGGATTACGACACTTCAGCAGCAAGTTGATTACCTCCATCAACCACAGAATCTTTTCGCTGCGTGCTGTATCCTGGCGACGCAGCAGGATGAAAGTATAGATCGAACAGTCGTTGGCAATGACATCAAAGCATTGGTGCGGCTTCGTCCACGCGATGCTGTCTGGGATGAGTGCCGCAACCTTTGCTTGGTGTCCGAGTTGGCCCGCCACAGGCAAGTCAAAATGGATGCCGTCAAATACGCTATCCGTGTGCTTGATATCTTTTTCGACGCTGAGGTCCATGATCCAGTAAGACATCTTCCCCCTTAGTCCGTGGCCACCCGGCTTTTTCTGACCATCAATCTAGGTATCCCCGCTAGCATCGCTACGACGCTCAGTAGGCCGCAAAGTTCTGGAGTGGTGCACCGGTCGGAGTCTAGATGACAAGTCGGGTCAAGGGCAGCAGGTTTAGCCGACATCGATGCTGGTTTGCGTAGTATCTTAGGTTGTTGCGTCTTCAGTTACCCGAATCCGATTCTACGGCCTCTTTGTGATGGCGAGAGGCAACCCCATGCTATGGATACTTTCTCAGTCTTCGCTTTCCTTCCCTTTCGACGTAACTGTAGAGATTTCTCAAACCTTCTTTCTCCAAATTCTTCTGAAGTAGCTAGTACATTCTAGAAGACTAGGTTAGAATATATTCTGTACCAACACTCCTGGCTGATCAGCTAGTCAACTCAGCTTTAAACATCCACGGTCCTTGTGCGACGGATATCTCTTGGTAATTGCCACTGATTGTAACTCAGCTTACGGACATCGTATTTATGTACTCACTCGTATAATAGCTTAAACTACTCGTATTCCTAACACCTCAGTTTGAAAAGACGTCCTGGCCGGGCTCTCCATCTCTATTGACATTGCCGACTACTCCCACTTTGAGTTTCATTTGACTGTCATTCAGGCTGTCGTCCGCGCTCATTGGTCGCGTACAGCGCGGAAAAGAAGAAAGAGATACGTAATGCTGGATTTACCGTCGACGGTTTTGTAGACTTTTTGAAGTGCATATCTGGGGTTTTGCCGGAAAGTTCTAGAAGAGGCAATCCGACATCATGCCGAGAGCTGATGAATAAGCTCGAGAGGAAGAGAAAGTTGTAAAATACATTCTAGATATATGTACGAAGTGGGATAAAATAAAATAATAAGCTCCTTACATCTGGCTTTACGAGTCTGCGCAACACCTAGGATTCCAATAATATCGTACGATCAGTAGCTGCGGTTTGCTATAGCAACTCGGCCTTTTCAATTGAGTGTGCAAAGCATTCCATTACTACCACCAAGGAGGGGCATTTTCCGAGTATATGTATTTGATTGTTGCATGATCTATTTGGCGGCTAAGACATGCATTTGTTAAATCGCTGTGGCTTTATAGCGGGAGAGTAACGTTACAGGGCCCATTGTTCTTGGCGGCATTGGTTGTCAAGGCCCTAGTTATAAATACAGCAACGCCCCCCTGATTTTCTTTCCTTCTTTCCTTTCTACTTCTACCGAGTATCGACGACTCTGAAGTGGCTTTCATCTTTCCGCTGAGCAGGACCGTGACTTCCATTGAAACGGCAGCGCCATTTCTCTCCACCCACCAACGATCAACGAAATCGCTTTATATTCCTTTCGTCGCCATGAAGACTACCGCGTTCAACTTCACCTTCATCCTCTTCTTCGCGTTCCTCCAGCTCTTCTCCTTCGTCCAGGCTCTCCCTGTCGCGCCCGGAAGCCTCATGGGACATTCCTACCTCATCAGGAGCTCCGCCGAGCCCGTCGTCGTCGCGCGTGATGTTCCTCTCGACCGTGTTGCCCGGTTCCGAGCTATCCAAGAAAGGCGCGTTGTTAGGAGTGCTGATGCTGATGGTCAGGATTTTCTCTTTGAATGAAGGACCGCCGCCGCTTGCTTATGTTCAGCCCTAGCCCTTGATTAGCGTTCCAACTTGCGTGCATGGCGAGAAGAAGATCATGAAGAAGGAAAGAAACAGGCAAAGAAGAAGGATGATTAGTGGTTATCCAGGGTCGTTGAAATGTTGATGAGGTACCTGTGATGATGTTGATGATAATGGCTTGGTACGGGTTTCCAGTCAAGGACGTTCTTTATCTCTATCCTCCCTAGTACGCGTACACTTGTACTACCTATCATCATCGTGACTGTTGAACAGAATGGTATTGGATATCGGTAGAAAAGAAGCATCATACATAGGATATCAAACTGCCGGTCTGCCATCTTGCTTCGGGCTCAGGTCCTCAAAGCCGCCGAGATCCTGCGGGTCTTACCACCAGCAATGCCCAGATATACTTTCCGACCATGCTATCTCCGCGTCTTGTATGGTTACTGTACGAAAGAGACCCATGCGCAAAGGGGACAATAACACCAAGCGTTGCTGGTGCTGAGATAAAAGACGCGTGAGCGCCGCCATCGTCTCCTCATAGAGGTCCATCATATTCAACCAGTTATCCTGTGGCTTCAAGGGACAATGCACGAAAACCTTTCGCAACGGCAAAGCCGACTCCTCCTCTAGTTTCTGCAAGGTCTCCTCCAGCTCAGGAACGAACGACTGCGAACGCTCCGGAGCTGCTAACCGCAGATTGACCAGCCCTGGCGTGAGCTTTGAGATCTGGCCTGTAAGGTAGGAAGGGGAGGAGAGTGCGGAGAGATACAGGTGGCGAAGACAGGGGAACTGGAGCCGCTCATCGACGTCGGGGCGCCCGTCGAGCGAACCGTAGAGCGTCAGCTCCCGGAGCAGGGGGAGATTGACGGGTAACAGGGGAAACGGGCGGAAGAAAATGAAAAAAGCGTGCAGCACCTCGACAGACCCGTTTATGTACCGCAGGATCTGCTCAAAGGCGGCGTAGGCCTTGGCTCGTCGCGAGTACTCGGAAGTGAAAGCCTTGGGGTTCTCTGCCGACGAACGAGCGTGTGCAGAAATAAAGATATACCGTACACGGCGAAAGTGCGGGGGGGTATGCTCCAAGGCAGCTGCAAACGCCACAAGCTGTTCGTAGCCAATGATAGAAATCGATTGCAGTCTATTCATTTCCGAGGTTGCCCGCACGAATTTGGAGACGAGGGATAGTGAGCGGCCTGTGTAGCCGTTGTCCGTGCAGGCGTAGGAAAATATTTCGTTACAGATATCTACTGGACAGCGTTCCATGATGAGCCGCTACGGTAGTCAGTGAGATGATGATGCATGGGAATGGGGGCATACTCGGGTATTAACGGTATTCCCAGTGGTAAAGAACCCTTTAAAGGTCTGCGAGCGATACAGAAGGCAGGGGATTGCGCATGACAGACGCGAGGGGGTTGTCCAAGACAGGTACCAGTTCTGAGTGAGTCGTTCATGACCTGATTTGGACTTTGACAAAATCGATGCACACGTGATGCAGTGGCACTCTCTCTATCAAAGAATTCAATTTCAGGTTCTCGTCAGATGCTCTGGCCAGGAACCGTAGCTTTTCCGATAAACTTACATTTCCATTTCTTCAGTCAACTGTTCTGGTGTACAAGCATCGTCCAAAGTAATCCGATCCAAATTCAATCCGCCTAACCCGCCCAGCTCATCGAGTGTCCGAGAAAATACCTCGTCAAACGCCGCCTGCAAACCCGTGCTCTCCAGAATATTTCCACTACTATCACCGTCGCCTTCCCACCCAAACAGCCATTCCTCGAGCGTCTCAACCCCGCCGAGGAGTAAACTTCTCAGGCGCGTTCGCTCCGTCTGACTCAGTGGAGAAGACTTGACCCCAGCCGCGACGGAATCGACGTCAATCACCAGATCGACACCGAGGCCCTCTTTGGGATCCCACACCTGGGATTGTAGAACCGCTAGCCAAGCCTGATCAAGGTCATCCAGCCAGTCCATGAGGTCCGCGGCATTCTGTGGATTAGGTGGGTACCCCACGATGGAACTCAGCACGTCGTTGGTGAGATGGAGGAGGTACGACGTCCGAAGCGACGTCGACGGGTCAACAGGTGGGATCTGCAGTATCATTAGCAGCAGCTTCGTCGCTGCCTCCAGATAGAGCTGAAGAGTGGGTAGATGCGACGTGGACTGCGAGCTGCATACGACGTCTGAATATTTCGATTATTAATGCGCACTGACTGACCGCATTTTGTAGCCTCTCATCATAGTGAGGAAGCTGTCATCTAGATAGTCGACGAGTTTTCTCTCTTGCTTCGACGACAGCGCGTGAGGCGACATGATCGTGCTTGTTTAAGACCCAAATAGGAAAATCTGAGGTGGAAGTCCCAGCCAAGCTTGACCAACTTTCAACACAGCCGCTTCCTTGTAAATCGCTTTGCAAGTTTGAGCAGTATCCTTTCCCCCCTCTCATTTTCCAATCGGTATCTTCCGCGCTATCAGTAATCGATCTGTGCTACATCTTGGAAAAAACTGCTGTTCTTAGGAAATTTACAGATCGGGTTCTCCAAACACCCTGGGCCCAGAGCCCAACTTTATCGTTCTTCTGGTCACATACATCTGATCTACCGAAGCTGTGTGTCTTCTTCACTCTGCTGTGCTGTGCAACGGCGACACCAATAGTTCACCTATCTGATCCTCATGATTCATTCGACGACCTTGCGCAGCAGGGATCCAACAGCCTCGAAGGACTTGATTAATGGGCCTCATGGTCAGTGTGTTCTGCTGATTCGTCATCAACTTCTGGAAGTGTTCAGAGAGGTGTCGGCGTACACTGCCTTGATTGCAATATAGCAGACCGAACCACCAGTCTTCCCTCGTGTAAATCACTGGCAGTGTCGGACTCCACCATTCAACAGCCTGAAGGCGTAAAAATACCAGCTGCGGATCTGTGATAAACCATCGCTGGAAAGAACCTTCTGTCGTTGTTGCAAGTTCATCAGAAAAAGAAAGTGACTGGAATATATCGAACCCCCCCCCCCTCGTGTAAGTGTTCTTTTCAATGTCGGCCGCAGCTCTTCCTGCATGTTTCAGCTTCGAATCTTACACTAGAACGACACACGATAGTCTACTTGACAGAACACAAAAGCTGCTACAGCCTCGCGAACCTTTTCCTCGTCCGGGAGTTATCTTTTGGAAAAACCATGTAGATCCGTCGGACATTAGCCACCACAACGCCGGGGCACCTTTATGGTGAGATTTCATCCAGTCAAACGGCTTGAACTCTTGATAAGAAGAAAAAGTCATAGGAGCGTCCGAATCAACGGCCGCAGTTCACAAAGTCCGTCTTCGTACTAGAACGACACTGATCCTAAGGCGATGTCTCCATTGCATAAACGAACCCTCCCTTCTGTGAAAGCACCGCCTCTGTCCTATCGATAATGCACCTGTTTGATTCAATTCATGAATCATTATCTGGTGTAGCGACCAGGTTTTTCTTTCTTACTGTTCATTGGCCGGGGGAATTCAACGGCCCAACGTCGTTCGTGAATTGGGTCCCTTACTCCCTATCTTTGGATATAGACCGTATGCGCTGCCATTCCATAGAAGCTAGAGTGCTCTTATCAATATCAGTTGCGACTCTAACCAGCGCTGCTTTGAATCTAACGTCCACGACGAGGGACAGAGTCCTTGACGTCGAAACGGCCGGTGCTGTTTCTATTGGGGCTACTTCGAATTTCGAGTGAGAGCGATATCAAAAGTCTGTTTGACAGGTCGTAGAAGACTTTCACAGCTCCTCGGGCATAACCCAACCCATGATCTGGCTTTGGGATTTGGGATAAGTGATTACTCTTCAGCCGGTGTTTGTGTTTCTGGAGAGCATGATTTCTGGGCAGTCATTTCACTGAGGGTTCGTGCAGACGGGAAATTCCCTCATGGTATCGTCGCGGGGTTCTCCTCCAAGAAATCATGGAAGGTGCCAGCGGTAGTTTTACGAGGAGACACGGATTAACCTAATGCACTGTCGTAACCGGTGCGTGGTTCGTCTAAAAATGGATCCACTCCACTCATTTGTGCACAACAGCTCGAATCGATTACAAGGTTTTGATATATGGACCAAGGGGTCCCCCACACGGGGTCACTGTGCGGGGTTCCAGACGTCCCTCATGGCCGGGCATCGGTTAGGCGTATGTATTTTTTGAGATGTCGTTCTTTTTTTGAATATATTTCGACCGGGACATTATATATGGGCTACTGCCCTGCTTCGCTTAATGCCCATCATCTCGATGTCAACTTTCCTCGATAGAGAGCTCAGCTTTCTCGCTCTCCTTGTTATGCTCAGCGGTGTAGCAATACGTGAGTCATTGGAATTGCGCGCGCGACAACGGTACCAACTCATGTATACCAATCATTTTTCGACAGTACGCCAAATAGTTTGCTTGCTCCTGCAATCCAATAATGATCCTATTGATGTAGTCCCTCAAAGGATCGAACAGGATGTTGAGCGCCAAGCGCAGTCCCTCCCTACCCGCCGAACTATTCTAGACATCCTTTCTGGTGTCTTCCATATCCTTTATGATCATGCATACTTCCACCATTTTACAGCAATCTTTCGTTTCTTCCTATTCAACACCCCGAGTGACACTGACAATCATGCACGCGGTGGTGTGTATTCAGGATCTGATGGGTTCACACATCACAGCTTGGGTGACCAGAACTCAAATGATCCGGTCCTTGCGAGTCATGCTGATGATGGTGGTACTGGGCAGGGAGGAGGAGGGAGCGAGTAGGGAGGGAGCAGTCATGGATCCTGACCGTCAGCAGAGGACATGTTTTCTGATTCATCATGTAAATTCATGTTTTGATTTTCGTGTTTGCTTTTGCTTTGCTTTTTGAATATATATATATCCTGCTTTGACTTGTGAATAGGCCTGCAACAACTCTTGATGGACCCAGTTCCTAAGTGAGCACCTAAAGCGCACTGGCGCATGAGAAGGATGCGTCTTATGTGTCTGGAGCAGGTTGGTGTACATACTACATTTAAGAAAAGGGAAACGTGTGCCAGAAGTATGTAAAGCGGCGCTGCCAGTACGCGCAGTTCAAAGTCTCCGCAACCGACGGACTAACGTGTCGTTATTGCAACCAAGGCGAACACCGAGTTACGACAAATCGCCAGCCGCCAGCGACCTCTATCACAGCCAACCGAGAGGAGAGTATTAATGATTAAATTTGAAATGTTGCAGCGCGTGATGAACTTGAAAGGTGGAATGCAATGTTTCGTACACTGAGGTTAGCCGGACGATACCGCTGATGAGCCACCAGTGCGGCCAGTAGGAGCCGCAACAAAGTCCGAAGTTACTTTTTTTTTTTTCTTAGGATGATAAAGAGTAGCCCATCGAGACCGTAGCATTCCCAACACGGAATCACGTTTGCCAAGGAGCTGAACGGAATATAAAAAGGAGCTCGAGGAGGAGGCCCCTGCCGGCCGGATACCCGACGCGGGAAACTCCGGCCGACATTTTGTGGGGGGATTATATAGTGACGCGTTGGCTTTTCCCCAGGTAAACATTTCCGCCCGTTGTTTTTCCTCCCCCCCGCCACCCTACCACCGTTACTTCCATCTGCAACGTTCTGCACGATGGGAGCGTCAGAGGAACTCGAGTACCTCAAGTCTCTCGTTGCCCAGCTGAACGACAAAATCAACGCTTTGGAGGCAAAGGCGAAGAAAGCCGCTCCGACGCCTGCTCAGCAGCTGCGAACGATTCTAATAGGCCCCCCTGGTGCTGGTACGTGGATATATGTCGCCGCTGGAGTGGATGATGGTGCTTATTATAGGGTGCAGGCAAAGGAACACAAGCACCACGGATCCGTGACCAGTTTTGCGTCTGCCACCTGGCCACTGGCGACATGCTCCGAGAGCAGGTCGCGGCGAAGACCGCCCTCGGCGTCGAGGCTAAGAAAATCATGGATACCGGCGGTCTCGTTTCGGACGAAATTATGGTTGGAATGATTAAGGATCAATTAGAGAACAACAAGGAATGCAAAAACGGGTGAGTGGGGGGGTCGCTGCAAGGACGCGTTCTCGCGTACCGGCTCGTTTCCTGTACGTTGACTGACACCGTCACTTCTCAGCTTCGTACTGGACGGGTTCCCCCGGACAGTTCCCCAAGCCCAAAAACTCAATAGCATGCTTGAAGTCCGCAAGGAGAAACTCGACTCGGTTGTCCAGCTCCAGATTGACGACCAGCTCCTCATTTCACGTATTACTGGACGCCTCATTCATCCTGCCAGCGGTCGCTCATATCACAAAGAATTCCAGTATGTCTCGGGACTCTTTACGCTATCCTGCAAACTGTGTGTACTAAGACTTTGACTTGTAGCCCTCCAAAGAAGCCAATGACTGATGATATTACGGGTGAACCACTCATACAACGTTCAGACGACAACGTCGAGACATTGCAGAAACGTTTGAAAGCGTTTCATAGCATGACGGGCCCGGTTGTGGATTATTACCGGGCGAAGGGTCTCTGGCATGGTATCGACGCTGCCCAGTCCCCGAGTGTTGTCTGGGATAATCTGCGGAAGGTGTTCGCTGGGAAACAGTAGATGGGGGGAGGATATTTACTATAGAGGCCTTGTGGCAATCGTGGAGGTTCATCTATCCATCCATTTGCTATACCATGGAAGAAGGGACACTTGAATTGCATCAATTAAATGAGAAACGTCCCGCATTCATAGCGCGAGGCAACTGTCCGCAGAGGGTGCGGTGTGACATCTTTGAGTCACGTCCCGCATATCGTTCTTACGCCAACAAGCCACCAAAACACTAATCACTGAGACGTCGTGCATCCTGGACTTGACTGGCCGGGAAGATATGGGCTGAATACAAGTGAAGTCTATGTCCACCATCATTAAAAAAGAAAGATAATATGAATGTCATACAAATGTCATCTTCCTATCTCACCTCTCCTTGTCTTAATCTTCTCACTCGTCTTTATTTCCTTACTTTCCATACTTTACTTGAGCTACCAAAGGTAGATTAGTTTACTCTTACAGTCTCACTTGATGACGCACCGATGTTCGGAATTCCGTCATGAACGCAAATATTTTATACGTTTGAATCTAACTTGAAGGACTACCTCTAACTGCGATGACGGTGAGTAAGTACCAGTGTCGGAAACGACCGAGTGGACTTTTTGGGTTGACGCGCGTTCAAAGATAAAATAACGAAAGTCGGCCGATAGTGCTAAACAGGCGCAAGGCAGTGAATTTTGATGGCCATATATCGGCGGCTGTAAGCAAGCATCCAAATGGCGCGTTACTTGGGACAGAAAACTAATGCATGCTGCTTGTTCGGGTTTTCCCTCTTCATGAACGAGTTACGTTCTGTAATCAGGCACTTTGTGCGTCAATCTTCAGGTACAAGGGTCCCCCTCCCCACCCCCTGGTGGGTTTCAAGCGGGGCCAAAACCCTGGATGAACAATTGAAGTGATAACTGGAGTCAAAAGGTGTGTGGTTGATTAAAGAAACAGGATGACTCACTCTTGCAAACTCACCCGACCGAGCCGTATAACGATAGGCTGGCATGTCAGTGAGAATAGCGCGAACACCAAGTCGGAAGGATGGATGGACGGATAGAAGGAAGGAGTTTTTACGGACACCGAAAGACTCGGCCGCTAGGTGCCACCAGACCGATTAAGATGGAGCTGACTAAGCTGCGCTTTGATTATGATGGCTTTTTCGGCTTTTCAATTCCAAACTCTAAATTCAATCGCTGCGTGGCGACGCTGAGCTGAATTCTCAAGAAACAGCAGGGAAGTTCCTGGAACATTGATGGGGGAAATCCACAGAGACACACACACTTTAAACCGTTGAAGGGCATTGACTCTGGCGGTTCCGCGTTATTCGCATCTTTGAGAACGTTTGTTGACTTTTTAGCATACGCAGGGGACTTTCGAAGGATTGGATTTCGGGGCCGATCAACAAAAATGCGCGGTGCTATTTTCGATTGTATCAGCGCTCGAGTTCGCGACCTTGGCGATCTGCTGTGGGACGCATGGCAACGATAGATATCGTTGACCCTGGTTAATATAATTCTTGCAAGGAACGTGATTTACGGTCAGAATTTGGACTCATCAGTGAATTTCTGAGATGATTTCGTAGTTATATAAACTTGACCGCGTCAGTGTGGGCCCCTTGACGCCGGAAGGACGCTTCCGAGCGGCTCCCGCACCTCTGAATCTGACTCGGACTGTATTGTGATGTCCTGTCTGCATTTGGAAACTGAGAAAAGCAAAGCAAACAGACGATGAATAGGTGGAGCTCAAAGTAGAATAGTTATCAGTACGTCCACTAATATCGAATTCAGGGGATCAGCTGAATGCATGCGTTATCAGTTTCATGAACCCAAATATCTTCTTTCAATGCCTTCTTTCAATGCCATGTTGTTGTTTGCGGATCAATTTCCTTCTTGCCGTGATCATGGACGCTCAGTTCATATAAACTATAAATCCTTCCCTGAACACTCTCTTTCTTGTTTTCCACTCTTAGAATTCTCTTCTAATGCCAAAGACAGCAGCATCCTTAGCTCGGGGCTTAGCCTGTTTATGTTGTCGGTCAGTCACCAACCTATGATTACCGACTGATCTAATGTTCATATCCGATGTACTGCAGGAAGAGGAAACTGGTCAGTAAGCATGCACCTTTTGGTTCTGCAACGTATCTCTGAACCGGCCGTAGAAATGCGACGGAGGGCGCCCAGTATGCCGTCAATGTACGAAGATGAATCGAGCGGACGAATGCGAATACGACGACATGATGGTCAAGAGCAGGACCCAAAAGTTGCAGGAGAAGCTGATGATGCTGGAGACCAGACTTCGTGAGCTCGAATCCGAGCCGTCGCATTCGTCACAGACATCGAGCGCCGAGACGTCACCAGCCGAGGCGGGGCCATCAACGATGCCACAGAGTGCCATTCTCGCGCCGTTCCCTCCCTCAGCCATCACTGATGGGGATTTTAACGCCTTATCAACCACATTTCAGGACTGGAACACCATCGATCCTGCATGGTCCGCCAATTCGCCATCGTCCTCTTCAAGTTCTGTCGATCTCGTTACTTTTCCCGGGCTCTTCGGAGATGGGTCTGCAGACCAACTGTGGCCTTCCGTAACAGCATCTTCGTCTCAGCTTGCGCCTTTCCTTGAGGGGAATGATATTCCAGCATCAGGATTCGAAATCAACCCTGACACGTACCCCGTGTCCACACATGCAGATCCAAACTTTGCTCCGTCCTCCTTCCCACAATGGGATCCCAAAACACCGTTGCCACACGAACATAGGACGATTCTGTACGTCGCGCGCGCTTCGTGGTTGATAGACATCTGCTGACTGTTCTGTGTAGAATAAATATATTTCTGCGACACCGCCATCAATTCTCCTTCGAAGGGGATATTTCGAGGTTCGATGAGTCCGTGCCAGCTGCCCTCTTCCGTCCCGAACCTCATCCTGCTCTCATGAACGCTATTTACCTCCTCGGATGCCATTTCGCCCGGTCTCCCTACTACTCCGGTCTCGAGCCTATATTTTTCAACAATGCGCTAACCGAAATAACCCTGGCGCTCGACAGCTCCGATCGTCTCGTAGACATTATCGAAACCTCGTGTCTTCTTGCCGTATACCTATACATCAACTCTCGTTTTCTCGAGGGTTACTGTCACGCTTTTTCCGCCGCACGCCTCGCCGTCGGTATCGGTCTGCATCAGATTGCGTCGGCGCCGTATGACTCGACCGCGTCATCTTCCTCCACCTATCAACAAGCAACTGTTTCGACTATTCCTATACCCGCGCCTCAGTCCCAGGAGGAGATGCGTGACAGGATTGCAGCTTTCTGGCAGGTGTTCATTGTGGATAGGTGTTGGACAATTGCAAATGGTCTTCCGTTGGCGCTACCCGACGGTGACAGTCATAATTCGCGCATAAAGACCCCGTGGCCAATGCCGCCCGAGCCGGGGATCGTGAGTTGTCTGTCTCTACTTCTCTTCTCTTCATATTGACGCAGCAAACATTTACCAGGATGCTTCTACTTACATTCCACTTCTTCGAGCCAAAGCAGTGGCCCTACTAGAAAGGGCAAGTCGTATGTCTTCCGGTAAGGATAATTCCGTTATGCGCCATATCTTTCCCCCGTTTCACCGTTTGACAGTCTCCAATAAGAACGACGATTATTGGGCCAATTACAACGCTGCTGAAATTGCATTAAAACGGCTATACGCCTCGTTGCCTGCCTTTCTTGGCTTCGAACCTTGGCGGACGCAGGCACCGTTTATAGACGTTGAGCTGTTCGCCATCCATAGTGCGGTCCATGGCGCGCTCATATATCTCTACAAGGACGTGAATGAGGAGGAGACGCAGAAGGGCATGAGGACTGTTCTGTCGCTCGTGCGCCAGCTGAGCAATGACGATTATGAGTTCTTGGAACCTACCCTATTCGTGCGTCTTCATTTTGGTGGCACGATTTTCGTGTTCTAAAAATTGGCACTTAGGCTACCTGGACCTGCGTAGCGAAGGAATACATAAGATCCATCCATATGGCAAACCAGAATCCAGGTGGATCGGACACATACACTGTTTCTATTGCCGAACAAGAACTGGACGTGTTAATTAATGCTATGAAGATGCTGAGCGCCTTTTTCCCAATTGCGGGTACGTAAAAGCTTCTTCGTCATGGCTTATTATGGATGTATCACTGACAGGTTTTCCCCTGTCCGTCTAGGCGAGCATGCCAAGAAGATTGAGCAAGAGCTACAGCAGATGCAAGGATCGACAAGTTGATAGACAGCCTAAAACCGACTCGGTTGATATTTCCCACTGCAGAGTGCGGCTGCTGCGTTCTTCTGCCCGGGTATACTGGCGACCTGTGAGGGACTTCTACGTTTCTCGTGGGAAGATCCCGCTGGTTCGATTGCTTCAGTGAGTGCGTTGAGAGGGGGTTGAGGGCGGTAGCCTGCGGTTGGAGGATGTATAGACACAAAGTCGGTGCGCCGCCACATTGTTGTTTAGGACTCAGGAGCCAACGAAAATTTGTTCGACTCGGACGTTGCTTATTCATTTGAATCTTGATGTGGTATGTGAAATTTCATTTTTTGACTTCATCTGAATGGTTCAAGACAAACCGATGTTCAAGTCTAGGCTAGCCTTATCCTAGGCCGGATTCTGAGGCCTGACGTTAGGAGCTTTACATAAATACATATAATGGGAATCCCGACGGTGTCACCCCTTTGCGCTAGGGTCCACATACAATACGGGGTTTCCCACACAGTAATGATCATTCTGTGCGTTATCAGTGAAGCGTGAATTCAATGGATAAATATCGGCGGGTCTATCTTTCAAGACTGACGGTACGTCGGAAAGTGCGAGGAATGCTACACAGGATGCGAAGAGAAACTTCCAACAGAGGAACAAATGAATACAGGCTCCAGTCCACATAAATGATAAGTGAATGACGATGATGTCAGGACCGTGATTCCTCCTCATCCGGCTTCCAAATTGTGATGGTTCGTCGGAAGGTCCGCGGGATGCCACGCAGGGTGCGAAGAGAGGACCAATGTGACCTCTGGTAGAAGCTATAAGTATGTGGGTCTCCTTTTGAATACGACCTCGAGGATTTAACAGAGTCCGACGTGTCAGGAAGAAGGAGAGATATAATTATGCAGAGATGAAATACTTGACTTGTGATCGTGGTCCCAGTAAGATAAACCGTACCAGAGTTAGTGTTGAGCAATTCGCTTGAATGTCATCGTATAGGGGCCACTGAGGAATGTTTGCTTCCCACGTTACTACTGAACGAATCTTCTGTCTCGCATGTTGGCAGGAGCCGGATGCTCGATAAGTAGGATTTGTAGAACGCGTCGTTACCCGTTGTACATAGGGTCGATCGAAATATCCGCTTCGTCTAGTTTTCAGTTAGCGCCGCTTCTGCAGACCAAGTTTAAGGCCGAGGTTTATACTTACTCGGTAGTGTGTACGTTACTAGGACGTTGGGGTGCTCGGGTCTCAGCATAGAGTGATCCGCCGGAGACTGTCGAGATAAAGCTGCGGTGACTTGGGGGGATGTCCCAGCAGTGACGCTCTAAAATGAAAAATCATGATACTGTGATAAGTGATCAGTTGACTGCGTCGGAAAATCGATCGCGAGCTCGGTTCCATACGGCTCTATGAACATTCTCGGCCACCATTCGTAACAGAGAGCGGCTGAGATGGTCTAGTCAAAGTTAGACAAGATCCAAGCGTAGAATGGATACACCGAGGGTCTGGCTTCGCAAATGGTGTGTATGTGGGCGCCTGTTATATCGTATGCCCGGGTCTGTGTTGATGATATCTGAGCGCCCCTGATCCCAAAGAATGATGAGGTTCAATATAATCAGTATTTGGCTAGAAAAAGTAGTGATCATCAAAAGAGATATGCTTGAGTCTCAACACTGCGGAGTTCAGACATAGGAACTTGCAGAATATTGCGAGGTCAGTGCGAGACCAGCGGCATTGGCGGCAACTGTGATCGAAAGTCCCAAAATGAACATGATATACGACGTCGTCACATCACACGTGTTCCAGATTACAAGGACTCTCGAACCTTTTCCATTCATCTATGATTATTTATTTGTTACTCCTCTGCTCGAGCGTCCATCATCTGACGCAGCAGGTGCCTCACCATTCTTTCTCTTTTTCTTTCCTTATCGTGGATACTTGTATGTCTTCTCTTGCAGTAAGTACTTATCTACCATCCCGTTGCTGCCGGTTCCCTGACTCTTTTTTCCCCGTTCGTTCCTGTTCCGTGGTAATCCTGCCAGTAATATCCACCCGCCTTTCTCGTTATCGTCTTTTCTTCGTTGCTTCGTTGCTCAGAGGGTTTCAAGCGAAGGATTGAATCATCTCTTCACGTTGTTCTTGGTCGGGGTCTGATCTGTTGGTGGTGGTCCATCATTGCCTGTGTGTATCCATGTTACCATCTCCGGCGATTTTTTCACCATTTTTATATATTCTAGGCCGCCTTTCTGGTCATTTTTCCTTTCAGTGGCGGAATTCCACCACTCCCTCAAAATTTATACGTCGCATTTCTTATCGACAAAACCTTCTCCCCATCCTCCCCAGAGCTTTGTTCATTCACCTGGGTATCCATACTCTTTGTTGTAAGCGGCTGGACAGTGAGTTACACTACATTGTTTCGCGATTGCGTCGTATTTATGCGTCACGATTAGCCTTCTTTCGCCTTTTCTGATGATTGCGACGATAAACATGAAAGTCTCTTCAGTGGATAGTTCACTGCCGCGAAGTCCGAATTTAGCGGTCGGGCCTCTTCCTCTCATCCCGCGCAGGTCGGCATCGCGTCGACCGCCGCCATTGTTCACTTCTCCTTCTCCTGTCGCCGTCGCTGGTCCAGTCAAGATTAACGTGCAGGGTGTTAATTCTGGCGAGAAGCCAGCTGCCTCTTCCTTCAAGGCAGTGCCTGATGCCAGTTTGTCGGGCTCAAGCTCTGAAGGAAGTTCAAGTAATCCCCGGCTCAAAAGAGGCGTCCCTCGGGCTTCATTGTATCAGCCACCGTCACCCACGATATCATTATCTCGTGTCACATCTAGCCACAGACACTCATCGTCTCTGTCTGGTGACATCTACGCCACCGACCTGTCTGCTTCGTCGCTCCAGGATACTCCCCGAGCATCCGTCTACACCCTTGCGGATAAACGCTTAAGCCTTGATGATTCGAAGCGGATTGCTTCAGAGTCTCACTTGCCAGATACCGAGGCCTCGAGTAAATCTGCACCCATTAACTCTACGCCCCCCATGATCGTCAGGAATAAATCTGGACAGCCGATAAAGTCATCGCTGAAGTCGACCAAGACACGGCCTAGGGGCAATCTTTCGGTCATTACAGGGATGTTTTCCAGCAAGAGCGAGCCAAATACGCCGTCATTGTCTAAGGCTGTTCACTTTGACACGCAACTGGAGCATGTCAAGCTCTTCCTTGCGGAACAGAAGCCTTTAGCGGTTTCTCGAGACGGAAGTCCCACTGACGATACTAGTGGAACAGATAGCGACTTCCCGCCGTTCATCTTTGGGGAGCCTTATTCATCCAAGCAAAGGTTGGTGATGAATGTCGTCAACATGCCTCCCATGGTGGATTACAGGGCCGACGTTGCGATGGACAGTCTATTGCTATCTGCAGATGGACTGAGTATTATTGGCAGAGTTCGGGCGAGGAATCTTGCGTTTCAGAAATGGCTTGCCGTGCGCTTCACGTTCGATGCTTGGCACACTACAAGTGAAGTTACCGCGAGATATGTTGAGTCTGCCAACCCGAGTGTCGATATCTTTTCATTCAGCATCAGATTGAACGACATTATGGCCTGGATTGAAGAGAGGACGTTGGTTTTGGCGCTGAGGTACTCGGTGGAGGGTAGGGAGATGTGGGACAACAACAATGGCAGGAATTATGTCGCCAAATTTTCCTGGGTCAAAGATTCTAGTAGTGATTCGGGCAGCGACATTGCTGATCTGAAGAAGAAGTTGGAGAACGTTATGCAAAAGAGGGAGGACGAAGAACCCGCTTCTTTACCACCTTTGCCGCCACCCCGTTCCGGTCCCGTCGAGCTTGACAGTTCTTCAGATTTCAAAAAAGATTCGTCGTTATCATCCCGATACGACTTCGGGACATCTCTGAAGACGAAATGGAGCCCGCCTACAATACGTCGCTCACTCACGCAGACATATCCCACCGCCTCCGCTACCTCTCCTCCTAGCTCAATTCCTTGGCCGACGATGGTGGATAACGCTCAGCGCAACCTTTCGCTGCCCGTCGGGTCGAAGCCACTGGGTTCCCCGCGAGATCAGGAGGATGGTGACAACTTCCGACCTGCCCCGTGTGTCGCTTCTGATACAGAGGATAGCCCATCTTTCGCTACTCCAACGAAAACACGGAACCATCATCGCGGATACTTTGACCTTAGCTTTCTTAGGGAGTCTGCGGTAAAACGGACACCTCCTGGAACGCCCAGGATGAGATCAGTTGATGATTCGACGACAATAGCCAGTCGCAGCCCGGGTAGGTGTTACTCGTTCCCGCCTGTAGACGCTCTGCGGCCAGCACCACTGTTTAGCATGGGTAGCGGTCTGAGCTTCGAGCCAAGAGACGTCGAACTTGGAGCAGGTAGTGATGAGTCGACACCGTCTATCATGTCTCCGATTTGGAGCAGTTCATCCTCTGCGACACCATCACCGACGGAAACCGAGTTTACGTCGCCGTTGACCATCCGCGACAATGTCACGCCTCGCGATCCTGATACCGATTACAACCACTTCCTTAATCGGTGAGTTAGGACGCCATGTGTTATGTTTTAGCAGGACTGAACTGCGGGCCCTACTCTACGGTACAGGTTCTGCTTCTACACAGGTCCAAATTCCACTGTTGATGTAGATTCTGGAGCCTTGCCAGGGTCGTCGTCAATGTCGAGCGTTGATGATGTCTTAACGGTGTCTGTGCGTCCGCGTGTCCCTGTGCTCGAAGCTCAGCGTGATATGGACACTTGTACGCAACCCCAGGATGACAATGCCCTCAGTAGTGGTTCTTCGACTCCCATGCCGTTCAGTTTCCATGGACCTCCTCGATCATTCGCCAGGATATGATGCAGATATGATGCTTCTCTTCTTTTTTGTGTGTAATTTTAGTTACTGTAAAGGTATATTCACCTTAACCTTCTATGTATAATCATACCTTACTCTACGCCTCGGACATCATCATGTATACGATACACTTGCTTCTGACTCTTTCGATCTGTACTACTAGTACCAACGCCCCCCTCCCCTCCCCACACCATGCTCGGACATTAGGGATACATAGAAAAGTATATCTTTATTGTTACCATATGCATAGCAATCTCATGATAAGGTTACTTACTCTGTTTGCCCATGGGGAATTTGTGAGGGTGATATATGTCAATGATGGCGGGTATGCGTCACTTGATGCGACGAGGAGTGTGCTTATTTTTGTTCGTGTGATGTAGCTACGGATCATGATTAACAGTGCAACGGGTAACAATGGTGTTCCTCGATAGTCATGGTGTTAGGATGGAGATATGGTCGCTCGTAATCCATACCTCTATAACGACATACTCTCCCGTAAACCACAGGATGGTCCATCTACCATAGCGCCGAGTGGGAACGGAGGGGTATGGGATGAGTTATTACAGAGCCGACTGTAGTTGGAAGAAGTCATCATCCACCCAGTCGTTCGCAACGACGCGTCGTACATATCGCCGCACCCATCTACGTCGACGCACATGTTGAGCAGCGAAGCGAGTTCTTCGCGTCGCTGCTCTCTTACGTCGATTCTTCTTCCGTAACATTTATAAGTTATGACATCGCTTCGCTTTTTTTTTTTTTCGGTGGTCACTATGAGGACGCGCAGCAAGAAAAGCTGCTGCGGATACGAGAAGGTAAATCGGACCTATTTGCATTTGTCATCGAATTCGAAAAACCGAGAACTTTAGAAATTTCCTTCGGAATTCGATGTGCTTGGCTCGAAATTCGAAGAACTTCGTTTGTGGGTTTTTGTAGACTGGCGGATGTTTGAGAAAAAGTAATGCTTTCGAGGATCTGCAAGCCGGAATAAGTACAGGTATAAATGAGGCCAGGGCATCTAACGAAATACCCGAGTTCCATCCGGAGAAAAGTTGACGGGCAAGTCCGAATCAAGGCTTGGCATTCAAGGGGGGAAATCACGTGGCTCAGGATACTTTTACTCTGTGACGACGTTGACATTCAGTCATCCGTCGAGCTCGCATCCGAGCTCGTCGTTGAACACAATGATCCTCCGCAAACTCGCCTCAACGATGCCAAAGGCCCATTACACCGACCTAGACCCATTGTCGCTATCGTCGGTACCCTCGCCCTCGATGTCTCCTTCCTCCTCTTCCATCTCCCCCACATCGAGCGGATCCCAGTCGAGAACCCATGCTTTCTTCGCCTCGCCCTTTTCGACACGACCGTCCAGTCCTACCCTCCCGACAAAGAGAACCACGGACGATCTAGATGTGAATGGAAATGGTAATAGACCAAATTCGAAAAGGTCGCCTGCTGCGCCGCGATCACTAACGACTGATTTCTTCGCAACGACGACGACGACCCCACATACAAGCTCTGCACCGCCAAAGGGCAAAAGGACCTTCCTTAATCTTGATTTGTTGCGGTATGCCCCTAACGTTGATGGAGCTGCACAGCATGCAAGCCCCTTTGCTGTAAACTTTACCTCGACACCGACACCGACACCGACACCGACGTCTATTGAATACCCTGATACGTCAAGTGAACCTACGCCGCGGCCTCCAGATCTCGTGCTCAACATCCAGCCTAATCTCACTGAGCCAGCACCCATGCAGTCGAGCCCTGTTTCCCTTGAACAATCCGTCTCGCCCCCACCTGGAACACAAGAGGACGCTGAGGTTCTGCCTTTATCGATGTCGATCGGTTCGCTGGTGTCCTCTGATAACCCATCGGACCAGCACGATGAGCTCGCCCCGGGCATGATCATTCGGTCCTTCCTACCTGGCCATTCATCATCGTCATCCTCTAGTCAGCAGGTACCACCTGCCTCTTTACCAAGCAGCGATACCTTGTCCCCACTCAAATCCGATCCCTATCCCCCGGGTGACACTGCTCCAGCAGGTGACGTCTTCTTGCGATTAAGACTTGCACTCGGGAAAGGCGCCTTTTCGAATGTGTGGCTGGCGGAAGATCTTTCCCCCATGCCTCTCTTGTTGAAGACGAAGAAAAGTTTGAGACATATGAAAAGAAAGGCGGAAGCGGCGTCAAGTGGGGAGCTCAAGCATTCGAGGTCGTCGTCGAGCTTGATGAAGCGTCTACGTGGTGGTGTAAGTGGAACTAGGCCTCACAATGGGTCACCTAGCACTAGCCCCAAGAAGTACGGAAATGGTTTGGGTGTCGGGTATTCACCTCCACTCAAAAACCGCATGTCGAGCTCAGGCTCTGTCAGGAGCATTTATCTGGACGAGAAAGACTGCGATGGCGTCTTACCTGATGCAGGAACGTCTCTATCGCGGGCTTCCTCAATATCTTGGCAATCCGCGTCCTCATCGGATAGCGATGGCGTTGGTAGTGTGCATAGGTCGAATTCGACTCGTTCAGCGAGGATTAAAAGGGCTCCGAAACTTGTTGCTGTCAAATTGACACTGAGGGGATCCATTGAAGTGAAAAAGGATGCGTATTATCAGGAAGAAGAGGAGAGAGTGCGAGATCGCATGCGTGTTAGGTTTGTGAGGGAAGTGGAGGTCCTCAAGGCAAGTATCTGTCCTTTTCTGACCCTTGTTTTCGCAACACGTTTCTGTTCTTGCCTCGTGTGTCTAAAGATGTCAGATCAATCCCGTTTCACCTGCTTCAAAAATCTTTGATGGGTTTGGCTTATCTTTCCGTTTTCCAGCACATCTCGCATCCGAATATAACGCCATTGTTGTCTCATCTGACAACTCGTACCCATCATCTCTTGGTGTTACCGTACTGTTCTGGCGGTGACCTGCTAGGACTGGTGACCTCAGAGTCTTGGGACATGCTCACCGAGAACATTGTCAAGCGGATATGGGCGGAGCTATGTCGTGCGGTCGGCTGGATGCACAGTGTCGGTCTAGTGCATCGAGACATCAAGCTAGAGAGTGAGCATCATTTATATCATATTTAAGATAGTGTTCTTTGATCTGACTGATCATATGCAGATATCCTACTCACCGTGCCGTTATCCTCGACGACCCCCAAACTACCACATGACTCGTGTGACATGAACGTGTCGCCTCATTCATTACCGATTCCCCCACTCCCACTTATCCAGCTGACCGATTTTGGATTGTCGCGATTTATTGATCCTTCCCATCCAATGCTGACGACGCGATGTGGGAGCGAGGCATATGCAGCACCTGAGTTGGTCATCACTGGCGGCCGGTTTAGTGTCGCGTCTGGTAAAAGCAAGTGGGGTGACTACGCCGAACCTGATGAAGGTGGATACGATGCTCGCGAAACCGACGCATGGGCTTGTGGAGTCGCCCTGTACGAAATTATGACGAAGTTGCTACCCTTTGGTGAGGGTCCTAGTGATGGGAAAGCGCATGGGCGAGCGAAATTCGCGGGCACGCCGAGTAAGAGGAGGCAGTGGTTGATCAAGATTGCGAGAGCCGAGTGGTGGTGGCCTGAGGGATCGAGGAGTGCCAACGGTGAGGAGTTGGTGGTGGATTCGTTGGTTGAGTGTGCGGGGGCACGTCGGATGGTGGAAAGGTTGCTCGTCAGGGATCCGAGTAAGCGCTCGAGGATAATGGATTTGTGGGACGATGAGTGGATGAGCGGCCTTGTGTCGCCGCCGTCGTCTGGGAGGCCCAGTATGGAGAAGGAAGCAGACGAGGGTGGATATAGCGTTGGAGTAGACGTCTGGCATGATTCTCAGCGGCTGGAGAACGGCCGATATGAGGATGATTTTTGGGAAGATGGGGTGGATGAAGAAGAATTGTTGGAGAATGAGGTTGATATTGACGGGTGGATCGTTGACAAGGAAGGGATTGGAAGTATTGCTAGTGAGGAGGTACAGTAACATATGCAGGTGAGATCCTTTTTTTTTTCTCAGAATGAGTGTGAAGCTGATTTGGGGTTTGTAGTATCTATTGGTTATTCTATTTCTCGATGTCGTCACGACCCACGAACAAAACAAATCGTTCCCATGGTCCGTCCTTATTTGTCACGATCCGCTATACTACATCATATATAGATCCCCCCAGCCCATGGTGTTTGTCTTATTATTCCTGCGTTAACATGGGTTGGAGTCGACTGGTTTTTTTTATTCATCTTGGTATCATTGGTTAATGTTTATTGTAAATGTGTAGAGCTGTTTAGTAGGACATCGAAAACGTGTAATTGGCGTACTGAATTATCAAATTTCTTTGAAGACTTGACCCTCTGGCGAAGTGGAAGTCCACCCCGTGTTGGATTCGTAGAGAAAATACTCCTGAAATATTTCGTGAGAGTGAACGTGGATAGAACGGATGAGCGGATGAGATGCCGATCAGCGACGTCAGTAGCCGAATTTGGAATTCGCGCCTACTATCCAACCAACGTTCTTGCGTTTACTTGCTCTAGATCTAGACAAACCCTTAAGTTGCTACTTTAAAAAGTCCTAATCTAGCGTGTTCTTGCGTTGATATCCACAATTGTTTCTCTGCTTCACTCCATGGAATCCGAGTCCAATAGTTCGACTCCCGCGGTTCCAGTGCACCGGAACACGTCGATGAGGCGGGGGGTGATACCGTATCTCACCAAGATTGCCCATGGCTCGAGTCCATTTATAACGACGTTCCTTCTTATCCATCTTGCCCCGCCGGCCTTGGCAAATCTCGGTGGCTCATCACTTTCGTCGCAAACGATGGTAAACGGCTAGCTTGCGCTTATCTACTGAATTGATTTTTTTACTGAGTCCGTTTTTTTTTTGCAGCTCCTCGGTAGAGAATACTATCAAACGAACTTTGGAGAGAAATACCTCGTTTTCGCTCCGATTGCCATTCATGCTCTTTCGGCTTTTATGAAAAGAGTTCTTTCTGGACCGAAGAACCCTCCACGGCCGGCTTGGAGTGTGTTGACGATTACGGGGTATGCTACGATGTGGTTGCTCCTGCCGGTGCATTTCCTCGTGCACCGGCGTTTTCCGACGAGTTCGACGGCGCCGATTCTCGAGGTGGGACCTTCGGAACTTGACTTTGAGTTTGTCAAGGTCGGGTTGCGGGCGTGGCCGTGGAGGAGTGCGTTGTTGTATGGGGGGCTGGTGGTTTGTGTGGTGCTCCATGTGGCGGATGGGGTGGGGGTTATGTGGAATGTGTATTTGGCGGGGGGGTCGTGGGGTCGTCGGATGAAGCGGTCTGTGAGGAGGTACAGAAGGGCGGGCTTGGTGGTGGGTGTTGCGCTTCCGGTGCTTTCGGGCCTTGTTGTGTTGGTGAGGGAGCCGATTTTTGCGTTTGCTTCGACTGTGAAACGGTTCGAAGCGGTGTTTTTGATGTCGTGGGTTTACCGGCTGTGAAGTAAACTTGGATCATTAATTAATTTGGGATGATATTCCGCCAATGCGTTGTCTGGTCTTATTTCCTTGTGGATTGGTTGCCGAAAATGTAGTTTATAGTGTGTGTGTGTGTGTGTGGGGAAAACCAACTTTATGCGTGTGTACTCGCCTTCGAGATTACATACAGTATTTATAGTATGAGTGGGGATTGGTTCGCTTCTTCTAATACGCGCCCGCAGAACCTTCAAATCTTAAAGCCCAGTCCTCGCATGCACGCAAGGTGGTTTTGTACCAGCTCTTGACATTTCTCATCACCCTCCGTTGTACCATACTTTAGGAAGCAACCATCTCGTGCAGATTTTGTTTTAGGGCACGCGCAACAACTTTTAAGTAAATGGAGAAGATAGCAATTATAATTCTGCTCATTGGAGGAATGGAAAACGCACGGTTTGAGTCCTTGTGGGTTCAAGGGATTCATTTTCGGATCCGTAGGATCATAGGGCTTCTCTGGCGTAGAAACCCATAGAGAAGTAATCTACGTAGATTTTTTAAAGTCAAATATAAGTGTTAATATTCGTTTAAGTAAAGCGCACCCTCTCGAACATGTTTCGCACTGGAGGACGAGTAGTAACTGGGAGATGGGGACCGGGAAATTGCGGACCGAAAATCTATTGATTATGTCATTGATCTGCCTTGCCTTTTGCGATGTCAAACGGAACAGGTGCTTTCGCGACTATTTTGATAAAAGTCAGTAATGAAACCACTCTATGCTTGACCGTGAAACATGATCACTGTCCCCATCCTCCTCCTGTTCGCACCTTTCCCTCTGCTGGTCGTGGCTCAATCTTGTGAAAATGCAGGTGTCGTGAACGGCTCAAGCTGTGATTGCCCCACAGGATTCGGCGGCTCGAATTGCTCTCAGCCTGCATGTGGAGGGAACATTTTTCAAGGCACAAACCGTTCATTAACGCCTATAAACTCGAACGGGTTTGCCAATCTTACGGCGGCGGGGTGTTCATGTCAGAGCGGGTGGACGGGAACAGGCTGCAACGTGTGCCAGACGGCCAGTGCCTGCGCGTCAGGATACTCGTCCACGACGTCTGGATCTTCAACGAGTTCGTCGGGGCTGACAGGACTGAACGATGGACAGAACCGAACGTTGGTGTGCAACAATTCCCCCAGAGTATGGGCGGCAGGCCAGCTGAGCTGCAATGTCAATGTATGTCTCGTCCTCATCCTCGTACCGCCGTTGCTTCTTCTTCATATATGTCCCATAGAATCCAACATTACAAGCACTGTATCCTCTGAATTCTGTACTCAACATCGAACGGACACTCAATTCCTCCCTGAGCCCCATTCCCAACACGACATCCTTCGGCTCCGCCGGATCCGTATACGCCCAGCTCTTTTACGACGGTGTTGAGCAATTCTACTGCTCTGCAGATTCCTGTACCCAAGACCTCAGCAGCGGCTCTAATGGAAGCTCCTCATGGAGTTGCCAGAACCTTTCATGCACATGTCGATCAGGCACTTCATTCTGTGGCGCTGTACATGTCTCCGACTTGACTAGCGCGATAAACGGCCTGTCGGGAGCCTTGACCATAAGCTGTAATCCTCTCGACCAGTCCACCAACACAGCATCCTGCTCTTTCCAACAGTCCACTCTCCAATCGCTGTTTGGCGCCTCGGGTCTGACAATGGAGGGTTGCGCATTCGGAGAATGTGTTGGACAGTATGTCATTGACGATAACGGCAATCTCGCTTCTTCGACAAGTGTCACCTCCCACACCCACCTGAGCGGAGGAGTTATCGCGGGTTTGGCTGTTGTCGGTGCATTTTTCCTCGCGGCGGTGACCTATCTCGCGTTTGGCGTGCTTCTCCAGAGAAGAGCCCGTAAATCGAGTGACAATGGCCTTGGCAATGGGAATATCCCCGTCGTATGGTCAGATATAAGCTATTTCGTCTCCACGGATCAGTCCTTTTTCGGAGGCTTTGGAAAGAAGAAATGTGATGATGGCGATGGTACGAAGGTCGTTCTTGATTCGGTTAGTGGTCGAGTTCTGCCCGGACAAATGATGGCTATTCTTGGACCCAGCGGAGCCGGTAAAACCACCCTCGTCGATATTCTTGCGCAGAAACCCAAAAGTGGGCGCGTCACTGGGACGATCTCTTTTCCGGGTGCAACGAAGCCACGTATCGGATTCGTACCACAACAGGATGTTCTGCCGCCCATGCTTACAGTCTTCGAAGCCCTCCTGTTTGCAGCCCGTCTTCGCCTCCCAGAATCCGTCTCTGACAGCGAGAAGCAGTCGCGTGTCTTGTCTATCATGGACAAGCTTGGCATTTCGGAACTGAAAGATTCTAGGATAGGATGGGGTGATGCTGGTGGTGGCAAGGCTAGGGGGATTAGTGGAGGGGAAATGAGACGCGTCAGTATCGGACTGGAGCTGATCGCCAGTCCAGACGTACTGATTCTGGATGAACCCACTTCAGGTATGAAGGCTGGCTGGCGTCTTTACTCTCACTTGCTTGAGGACTGACTGTTGTTTCTTAGGACTGGACTCGGTGTCCGCTGCTCGCGTAGCAAATTTGTTACATGATATCGCCCACGATACCCAGCACCCCACGGCCGTTATCGCCTCAATACATCAACCTAGCTCTCGTCTATACCAAACCTTCGACCAGATACTTGTTCTTTCCCATGGACACACGTTGTATTCTGGACCTGGATGCTTCGCCCCTGTCGATTACTTTGCTGCTGTCGCGCCTGGAGCTGCGCCACCCTGTCCGCAGGGGTACAATGTCGCGGACTACCTCCTTGAGGTTGCTAGTGACCCGCCGTTGGCTCTAATCCAGCAAGGGCGGAATCGGGACCTACCTGATAGCTCCGATAAGGCTGAAGGCATCTCCCATTCGAATACGTCATTCAACGAGGTGTCTGTGGAGAAAGGTTTGCTTGTGGCGCCAGCTGTCAAGCGGGCGCAGTCGACCTACGCTACAACTTTCTTGACGCAATTGCAGCGCCTATCTGGTCGAGAGTGGAAGATATTACAAAGGTTTGTGAGCTTACTAATATCAGTTTTCCGGTTATTAACGTGTTTTTGCGTGTAGAGACAAGACTTTATTCCTTACTCATCTTGGGATTGCTTGTGTATTGGGAGTGTTCTGTGGTACGTCCTTTTCTTTCCCTTCCTTGTCATTATTCGATCATTAACGTAGGATACAGGAGGACTGTACTTCCAGACAGGCATCACTATAGCTGGCTTTCAGTCACGTATTGGATGTCTCTTTTTCCTGGTAGGTCCTTCATGTACGTGCAACCGCGAATATTTACAAACTTTATGCCCCCCCCCCCCCCTGTTAGGGCGCGCTTATCGCATTTTCGTCTCTGAGTGCATTGTACAATATGGTGGAGATCCGGCCTTTGTTTTTGCGAGAGAGGTCAAGCTCGTATTATAGGTCGGAATCTGTTTCTTTCACATTGTTTTTGCTTATACTGACGGTAGTTTATTCTAGTCCTACGACTTGGTTACTGTCTCGTTTTCTTTTTGACGTTATACCCCTACGTGTGATTCCGACGATTGTGGTGTCTACGATGTATGTCGCTGCCCACTCACGTTTCCGGTCCCTAATTGCATTCTCTCAGCACGTATTGGATGGCCGGTCTTGCTGGTGACGCGGCTCATTACTTCAAGTTCTTGCTCATCCTGTTCCTTTACACACTTGCAATCACGCTTTTCGTAAGGCTCTTCTCTTCGCTGATTTTTTTCTCAACGGGTTTATCTCACCCCGAGGCTTATTACAGAACTTCCTCCTTGGTGCCTTGTTCCGCAACGGTGGTGTTGCGATCCTCCTTTCCGCCCTGAGTGCTCTTTATCAGATGACGTTCGCCGGCTTCTTTGTGCATCTGGGGGCCATACCTCCGGTCCTACGATGGCTTCAATGGCTGTGTCCTCTGAAGTACTGCTTGGAAGCGTTATCTGTGAATGAGGTCGGCTCGGGACTCATGATAGAGGACTCGCTTGAAGGCGTCCCTGTGAACGTATCTGCGACACTCATTATGAACCTGGTAAGTGAATTGTGTTTCGACTGTCGACTGGAAATTTTTTAACCGGCATCTCATTGTGATTGCGTAGCTGTTTGGGTTCGGGTCTAACAACTATTATAGGGATGTACTAGTTCTCTTTGCGTTCATTGCTGGGTTTGGTTTAGGAGTCATTGGTGTCGTTTGGTTCAAAGTACGGGAACGTCGGTAGGCTTGGGACATTTTGTAAGGGTTCGTGATTACAGTATAATAGTGATAATGGGTGCTACACGCTATTCAAGAGTTTTAGCGTCACCGCGAAGAGCTTGATTCCAATGTTGTGTGGATGAGAGCTGCCTCCATCTTCTTTGGACTGATAGACTTGAGGTAGCCGAATTTGGATCCTTCACCTTTCTGAATTGGAAGCTTTGAGGGTACTAACTCAATAATAACAATTCGGGAGGCGGTGCCAAGTTATAGGATGCGCCACAATGAATCGATGATTGCCGCAGGACATAGGAGCGTTTGCTATACCAAAGTGAGGGGCTAAAAGGAGAGTTAGCCAAAGAGTTCGAACAATGTCCACTGCTGCCGGATCTTTTAGTGCGTTTTCTCGGGCGGGGATACCTGTTTTGCGAAAGGGATTTTTTTTTTTACAACTTTGGAGCTAAGCCCTATTTTTGTCCAGGGTGGATAACGGAGAGGAGAATATGGCCACTTCCGGTGTTCTATCGGTTTTCGGCGATATCACAAGACTCTCTCTCGGAGACCGAAGCATCCATGCAAGTACCACCTATACATGTGTGAAATTGAGTTTTTATGAGCTTGTGGCTGGCTCATTTACTTTCAGGAACAGGGTACTGTGTATCCCTGCGCTTACTGATGATGATGATGATGCGTGATGGGCCGAGGATTTAGGCCCCGAGTCCATTAGGCAGCTATGAGGTTAAGATCGGGACTAGCTTGCTCAATTTCGTATATATACTTTTTGCGGTCAACGAATTGGGCGAACAATGGGGAAAAGTTGAAGGGGGGACGGACGGACGGACGTACTGACATTTTCTGATTTCATTTTGATTTTACTTACTCGGTAGGTGCCGATATTTCCAAAGCGTTTATTTTGACATGGAACGTCAATTAGCGTGCGCCCCGAGCCTGGGGGTATACGCTCGGGCTCGGTGAGCGTGCACTTTGCTTTGAAATTCATAGTGCTTGTACGTATGGGTTGAACTCTCTTTCCAGTTTAATTCCGCCATTTACTGGTACCTGCTCCGCCGGCAAGGTCAAGGTGGTTCGTCAGGTCGTATCGTAACTTTCCAAAGCCCTCCAAGGACTGAGTTCACTTGCGGGCACGAGTGCCAGTGCACATTTAATTTTAAGTATCTTCCCAGAAACTGTCTTCCCTGATTCAGGTTCTACTACCAGGGTGATATCACGAGGATATCCATCCTTTTCTGGAACTGCGTTTCAGCGGCAGACTGCGGATGTCGACTTTCGGTTAGCAGCACTCGGCAGGTGGACACGTATTGCGAATTCGCTGACCCTTTCAACGTTTCTGACCTCTTCCAACTTTGGAAGGGGCTTTTTTATTTATTTTCGATCTTCCCCCACATCTCTATTGAACTCGCTATACATTCGAAATTGTTTTGTCTCCAGATCGGGTCTGCAGGGTTTGGAACCACCAAAAACAATGGGACTAGCGCGTATTTTGATTTACAGATTTGCTGTACTGCAAATACGACAATTTTTCGAACGTCTTTGCCGTGCGCACTGTTCAATTTGCTCCAAATTGGGAGAGCGGGGCAGGTGCCGCCGGATAGGAGCCTCGTGACGCACCCGAGAGGCACTGTTCTTTCCGGCGGTAGGGGTCACCCCCGCCGGCGGAGACCAACTTCTTACCACGTGGCTATTGTCTCGGATGGCTGGCACTGGGTACCCTCTTCCCATCTATCAGGCTAGCAAGCTATCGACCGACCGGTGAAGGTATGGTCTTTTTTTTTTTTTCTCGGATGCAAAGGCTCCAGTGCCAGCTGATTTCCAGCCTATAGAACAATAGAAAAAAGGCCCTGAAATAGGCCCAAGGTAGCATGGCGGCGACGGTCGATCGTGATCGAGCCCAAAACGCGAGATATGTTTTCTTGAGAAAAGGTCATGTCAAATCGAGAAGCCAATCTAGATAACCGTGAGCTTCAGGACATTTAATTGTCGACGAAGGATCATCTGTCCCCCCCCCAACCCCAACCCCAACCCCGCCACAGCCTTTCCTCCCACTCCTCATGCATATCCCAGGCGCTCCCTCTGGCTGGACGTCCAAGGATCCAAACGGCGACCAGGTTGGCAACAACCATGTCAAGGGTCGCGTTATCAAGTTCCACCCTGATGCGATCCCAGCGATCCAAGCCTCTCGGGCCCCTCAGTCTACCACCTCATCCTTCCACATTAATACCGGAAAAGGCCGCACAGAGCATGTTGCTCGACCACGCAACGCTTTCATCTTGTTTCGTTGTGACTTCGTACAAGAGCACACAAAGGACGGGTGCAGGCCCCGGCGTGTCGCTGGCGTCCCAGGTAAAACAGTGTCGAAGCGCGCGGGCGAAGCATGGCATCTGTTGAGCAAGGAGCAGCGGGATCACTACCACGACTTGGCAGAGCAGGAGAAGCTCGAGCACGCTCAACGGTATCCCAACTATCGTTTTCAGCCACTGAGGCGCTCGTCTGTAGAGAGGTCAAGGCGATCTGCCGCGCGTCTGCTCTCAGGACCCCGAATCTCCATCCGTCGCACTGCCAAGTCCCGGCATTCTGTGTCGAAAAATCGCTCATTGGTTGCGCAGACTCGGTCACCCTCCCCGTCGGCTTCGCCGCCGGATTCTCCGGTTTCGCAGCCAGCTCCAGCAGTCCCGAGTCTAGAAGGGAGCTCCGAAGCGGGAGATGAGCTTAATGCCATCACCAGGGGCTTACACCGAAGGTCCTTCTCCGTCCCGGTGCTTTCGTCTCACTACCTTCCTTCCGGTGATGACGCTATGTCCGAGTCGGTCCCCAGGAACGAAGTCAGACGCACAAGGTCGATGGGTGAGGGCGGATCTTCCCTTCCAAACTACCCCATGCAGTTTATCTCTGGACCAAGCGAAGCTCAGTATTCGGTGAGTTTCATCTTGTCGTGAATTAACGAGGAAACAAGGGCTGATGAACAACCCATACAGATCTCTTCCTCACAAGAATTCTACGCTCCGAATACGTTCGCCAACGGAAACGCGTTCAATTACCCCGACCGCTCGGCCGCTTTCGATGATATACCCAACTACCACACGTCCCCTCTGAGCGCAGTCGCTTCATCCCTAGCCGGATGGAACGGCGAACCTCTGACATCGAGGGTGCCGACACCTGCGTCGTCGCCGGACTCCACTTGGTCCTCATTGCCCGGGTACAGCACCCAGTCTAATCCCGACGAATATTATCAATTCGGGTACCCCAGACAACCAGTGCCACCCCACGACTACGTCTCTTGGGGCGTGCAACCCAGCTATGCCCCAGAGTCTCGCGGTGTGGTGCCTGGCGCGTATCTGAACCATGAGCCCTCGGTTGCGGGTGCGTTGCATCAGTATGATATCGGGCTCTCTGAGCGGATTGTGGGACGAACACCAGACGGAGGTTTGATGCCATTCGAGCCGCGGTCGATGGATGGTTATAATCCAGCTACCTATAAGGCATTTTGATTTTGCATTTTTTCGACTCGTCATTCATCCAAGGCGACGTTGACTCTATTTAGTAATTGTAGCATATTATTCGCACCCCCTCATGTAGCTTACAGTTGTCCGTATATATATATTAATACCTGTATTATTCCCAACTTGAAGTATTTTAGTACCCTTCTTTCATTGCCGCCGGTCGATTCTTTGTAATGATAATGATTCCATCGAACATGAGGCAGGTTGTGAAGTGCAGGGGGTAGAGACCGGGACATGAGCAGTTGAATCGGCGTCTACCACCACCACCTCAGGCCTATTACCATCAGTTATCGGCCGTTTCCTCCTCAGCGATGGCCCTATACATCTCCCAAGAGAGACCCCGGCAGGCGCAAGCACCGACAAGTCTGCACCAAAACTCTCCCGGATAGCTTTCTCCTCCTTCAGGTGAACCAATCGACGTGCTTCCCGGCGATCCTTGATGGCTTTCCTCTCCGCTCTATAGGACTTCGCCTTGACGTTGTCGTAGAACACCACATAATGACCCCATTCTTCCATAATCTTCTCTCTTTCCTTCCTGGTGGCCGGGACTGAGAGCCCTTGGACGAGGCGATATGGGTACGGCTTTCCCAGCGACTCGTAATCACGTAACGAATCCCAGTCCATACGATGCCACCGCTTGCGAGCCTCTTCTAACGATACGCAGCCAATATTCACGAGTCGGTAAAGCATCTTCCCAGGGAGGGGAGAAACACGGGGGTTCTCCCTCATTCTGATTTCGTATTCAGCAATGGCGATATGGTGGTTGAATAGCTCGGCAGCGGGGAGGGTGGAAGAGGTAGCAAAGTCGCGGATTTTGATGCCCAAGGATACGAGTTTGGCGGCGTTCTCTTGTGGATCCTCTTCAAAGGTTCCTGGAGCAAACGTAGTCGTGCAGTGGGCGTTCTGTTCCGTTTCTTCTCCTGCATGGATGTCGACGATCGTCTAGGAATGCAAATATTGTTAATATGTTAATAGCGATAGATCGAGAGGAATTTGCCTGGTTATTGACAGCCTTTTTGCCCTTCGTTGTTGGAGTGTCGGATGTGGGGACGGAAACGACATCATCTGCTGGGCTACGAGACTTTGATGACAGCTTTCCGTGGATGGCTGTGGTGAGGGTTATCTTTAAACCCGCTGGCAAGGAGAACGAAAACAGATTGCTAGGCATCCCGGACTGTCGATGATTGTTCAAGAGAAAGACCGTTGCTGCAGGTGTTATGGCATCTCTACGTGGTGGGTCACGGAATACATGATACTAGAGGGATATACGCTCCGATTCGGTAGCAGCGGCAGGGCCCAGGTACTAGATTATAGATCGTGTCTCATATTGCGGTTATAATAGAAGCCCATTTCGGAGTGAAAGCTGCTTCTATGGTCGGCGGTGGGTACACAGATATTGGGGCCATGCAAAGGAAAGATTATTACTGGACTGCCTGAGTCACGAGGACGTGAATAACGAACGCCACAGTAGGGATGATTAGGATATGATTGAGAAGACACCCCGGACCCGCGTATAGGTAATCTTGCATAACGCACTCGGTGCCGGTAGATATACCTATGTGGTTGATTGATTTGGTAGATTACGGTTATTCAAAAGGGTCAAGTGAGTCTACATGTACCATCTACCATCAAAAATGAGGATTGTTCAAAACACAAGACAGAACGAACCTCTTGAATTATAATCAGCTATTTGGACCCACGTAATTTTACCGTAGGGTGTCACGACACTTCCGGGTTGCTGTCCTTCCTTGACCCAGAAACCGATTTCATACAGGCCACGCTCTTTACCATCAAGAAAAGCGTGTTCCTCCTCACTGACGGGTACGCTTAGAATAAGCTTACAGCTTTGATTCGACGATGACGCTGCTGACGTCTGAAGAAGCCACTTGAACGATTTTGCTGAAGATGGGACAGGTCGTTCGCCGGTGACACTTGTGAACTGTTGAGATAGACGCTCGATTATTCCATCTTCTGCAAGGACATGAACATGCGCGATTCCCTCAGCAGTGCAAGGGTGCGCTGCATTAGAGGGGGGTTGTAAAGGAACCTATGAATACAAGTTAATGGGGTATATCGGTATGAACCAAATTTGAAGAACTCACACGTAATTCTCGTAGAGTCACATCCCCGCAAAAGAACGGAAGTATGCTTTCCTCAGCAGGTGACGAGATAAGCCATTTCAGCTCGACGCCATCGGGACGTATACGACCTCCCTCGACTTCAGATAGATATACAGTTCCGCTACCATCTAGTTTTCCACGAGCATTGATAATGTCGGATATTCGAGTCGTCTTGGATCCATTTCCAAGAAAGGCAAAGTCGATCCATCCAGGCTGCTTTGTCGCCCAACGGTGCGATTCACGCCGGTGGCGTTCGTCAGAGCCTGGAGGGTACCATGAGGCAGCGTGAGTGAAGGCGATTAGCTCCAGATATACACCATCTGCCAGCACCTAACGAGATACTTAGCTAATTTACACCCCTAGATTTATACTTACAACTAAAGCATTGGACGTGAGACCGTCGGCATGGGTTCCTCCTTCAAGAACTCTTTTTATCGATTGTAAGCAAGGTTCACGTCTGTTGAACTGAACCTACTTGAATCCCAGGGATTTGAAGGAGTCAAAAGCTTGCTGGACGGTACCTGGAGGCGTCAAATGGACTATGTGGTCCAATATTCGCGTACTTGGATCCTTCATGACGGGATACAGGAACATACGCTAAGGGACCCTCGGAAACGGCCCGCTCTTTCGGAGTTTCAAGACGGATCAAGCTTCTGATTGGCTGACGCCTCTAAAGCCAAACGACGCGCCTCGCATGCGTCATCTTTCTTCCCGTCATGAAGTCGTTCAAACTGCTGTTTTTCTTCTTGCCATTGGTAGCCTCCTTCCCCGCTTACGGGGACCAGGCGGTGTTCACCAACCATGACTTCAGCGATGCACTGCAAGTGATATTGGATGGGAAACAGAACATGGAGAAATGGGTACACGACGGCAAGGAATTCATCAAGCAGGATAATCTTATGTGTGAGCAGCTGCGGAGTCGCTCGTCCCCCATCCGATGAATACTCACCCTTTACAGATGAACTCGTCTCCCATTCGTCATTTGAACAACACCAACTTCGAGTCACCAAGCCCAAGTTGTGTGATCCTACGGTCAAACAATATTCTGGCTATCTCGACATAGAGGAGGACAAGCATCTGTTCTTCTGGTAGCGTATCGTCTCGTTAGTCGCGCTGGTTCGCTAACTGTTTCGTTTCCAGGTTCTTCGAGTCTCGAGATTCTCCGAAAGACGATCCTCTAATTCTGTGGCTCAACGGCGGCCCTGGATGCAGTTCTTCCACCGGACTCTTGTTTGAGCTTGGTCCTTGTCGCGTGACTGAGTTGGGTCATAACACCACCTCCAACCCAGACAGCTGGAATTCCCATGCGAACATTATCTTCCTCGACCAGCCTATCAATGTTGGATACTCGTACGCTGACAACGGCAAGACCGTTTCCACCAGTCCTGTTGCCGGGGAAGATGTCTATGCTTTCCTCGAGCTGTTCTTCCATAGATTCTCCGAGTATTCGGAATTGCCATTCCACAGTGAGTCAACCTTTGAGTGAAACCCGTTCCATGGTAACACTAATGATCTAGTCGCTGCCGAGAGTTACGGCGGAACATATGCACCGAACATCGCGAGCGTCATCCACGAGGCTAACAAGAAGTTGTCTATCGCCCTCACTCCCAGCCTGAAGAAAGTCAACCTCGCCTCAGTCATTCTCGGCAATGGGCTCACCGACCCTTACATTCAAATGGGTTCCGTTGCCGACTACGCTTGCGAGGGCCCATTCCCAGTCTTCAGTGATCCGGAGGGCCCTGAGTGTACCTCCCTTCGCGCGAAGATCCCCACTTGCCAAAGGCTCATCAGTACCTGCTACAGCTTCCAATCCAGGTTGACCTGTGTACCCGCCATGCTCTACTGCAATTCTCAGCTTTTTGGACCTCTTATGCGTGAGTACTTTGATAACGGGTCTGATCTCCAGCGCTGTTCTCACATATTACTTCCCAGAAACCGGCCTAAATCCCTACGATGTTCGAAAGAAATGCGACAGATCCAAGGACAAAGACGGCGAACTGTGCTACAAACAAATGGGTTGGATAGAAAACTACATGAATGATCCTTCTGTCAAGCGCGCTCTGGGCGTAAATTCCGAGCGTAAATTTGACTCATGCAACATGGAGGTCAATCAGGCGTTTGCGTTTCAAGGAGATGGAGCGCATAACAGTGCCATCCTGTTGCCAGAGTTAATTAATGACGGAATCAAGTTACTCGTATACGCTGGAAATGCCGGTCTGTCCTTTCTCGTTCTGTTTATTATGTCAGGCTAATTATGATCTTGTTTCCAGACATGATGTGCAATTACATTGTGCGCTTGATCTACTTGCGTGCATTTGGTCGTTTCTGATGTCAGGTCATAGGGTAACTCAAGATGGGTTGAAGAACTGGATACGATTTTCAGTGAGGAGTACAAAGATGCTGAGTCGCTTCCCTGGACGACTGCGAAAACTGGTACAATTGCGGGTCAAGTTCGTAGTGCTGGTGGTGATGGGTTCACTTCGGGAAATGTCACTTTCGTGAACGTCCACAATGCCGGGTTCGTCTTAGCTTTAAATTCCTTGCATATTGATTGACCATGCTCGGATCTTTCCAAAATAGACACATGGTTCCGTACGATCAATCAGAGGCTGCCCTGGTTCGTTGGTTTTTATCGTATTTTTTTTTTTGCAGTACTGACTATCCATGCCGTCACCAGGATCTGATTACTCGGTGGATTAAGGATAGCCCCCTGTCATAGGTGTATTTTATGACGATTCGCACAGTTTTCTTAGTACGTGTATAGAATGAATATAGACATGTATGATTTCTGTTCTGATTGCAGGAGTTTGCATCACCTGTTGTGTATGACATGTGAAGGTGGCGTTTGCGCTGCTTCTTTGCCTTCACGAGAGTGTCTAGATGATCTACTACGTCAATTCGCTTGCATCTATGATGCTCAGCTACAGTAACCGACGCCCACATATTTGCAACGGTCTGGTGGGTTTTCATCTATCAATACTGCTAATATTGATGTATGATGTGCAGGAAAGTTGACATGGTGGATGTAGGCAGACTTCCCTTTTCTGCACGACGATTACTTTCTTCCATTGGATCCGGATTACTTAACAAAGCTTCTGGCCTCGGATTCTTCGAGATGTGATAGTCAAAAAGTCGTTCTGACCTAGGGTCGTGCGTAAAAGTCTCTTACACTTCCCCCGATTGAACAAGCGGCGTTTTTTTCCCGAGGATTCACGACGTCATCTGTTACCAAAGCTGAGGATACCTACCCAGGAATATTGTGCATATCCGAGTCGTATAAAACCTACCGTTTTATGCCTCATATCCTCATCTCCTCTGCGAGCCAAAGCAGAAAACCAAGTCCCCGAAAAAATACCCAGCCCAAGCATGATGTTCCTCTCATCACTCGCCCTCGCCCTCATCCCTACCTGTGCCATGGCCACAATCGCCGGCTATGACAATGGCTACGGCGTCGGAACCAACTCACTCAGCAGCGTCGCTTGTTCTGACGGCTCCAACGGTCTCCTGACCAAAGGCTACTCCACCTACGACACCCTCCCCTCCTTCCCATATATCGCATCGTCCGACGCCGTTGAGGGATATAACAGCGCAAACTGTGGTACATGTTGGAACTTGACGTACACGGGGCTGGGAGACGCGCGCAATATCACAGTTTTGGCCGTTGACCATGCCGATTATGGATTTTACACGTCGTTGGACGCGTTCAATAATTTGACGGACGGACATGCCGTTGAGTATGGGATTGTGGATGTTACGGCCGTTCAGGTCAATGCGTCGTACTGTGGGCTGTAAAGGATTGTGGGGTCTTGTTTTTTTTTGTGGACTGAAGCATTTACAAATTGTATTTGTTCTCTGTGTTGTTTCGGGCTGTAGATCTATCTATTCGGACCATCTATTCATATAAGATTGTGTTTGTATTTTCGTGTCGATTCTGAATTGAGATTTGGATGTCATGATTGAAGTCGTAATGCGGATGAAGAGTTCTGTCGAAAAAAAGAAAACGAAATGAAGTCATCCGATAATAAGAGAAGCGAAGAGTTAAAATGGGCATTAAGGGAAGAGGTACAATATCCAGCCAGATAAAGGAAAATGAATCAAAAATCGTTACAATCAAATGTTGTGTGTTAGACATGGAGAGCCTGTCTCTTCACACATCTCAGAGCCTTGACTTCAGACAACAAACTACACCCAGAAGATGAGAGCCACCAAGCCAAGTTCTTATCGTAAATATTTTCTAACTTAGCTTCAGCAATCAAATGTTGGGCAAAACTAAAAGACACCATAGATCTTTCTGCCAGCAGCAAGCGGAAGTAATTCATATGGAATATTGTCCGTTGCATTGTATATGTAGCAAACATGCGTTGATGTGACTAGTATCATGAGTGTGAGAAATGTGTTATATCTGGAGAATCGCCATCTTCTTAGTCTCTTCAGCAACCATGTTGTCCATGTCTTGCCCGGTCGATTCATTCTCCCTCGACTGCTGCTTCTCTGCCAGCACCTTCATGTCTTCGTTCTCCTTGCTTTCCTTTATCAACCCATCGAGTTCTGCCTGCAATTCGTCTTCGTCAAACCCGTCATTTGCTCCAATCGCAATGTCGCCGCCAATGCGTACAGCGTCGTCTATCTCTTTGGCATCGGCATTGGCTTCTGCGATTGCCTCCATCGTCTGCTCGATAGAGTCGCGTTGCAGTAATGGATGTGACAGGATATTGCGGAGGGTAGTGGCAGATTGAGCATATGATTCGAGTACCTATAATGTTGTCAGATTTGATGATGATAATACATCAGAAAAAGCCTACTTGAACATTCGCAGCTGCTACTTCAACCCTTATGAGGGTGCCTTCCAGCGTGTCAAGCGCTCCAAGACGTTTGAAAAGAACGTCTTGCAGTTGTTTTCGAGATCGGATATAACTGAGAGCAATTAACTGTCGCTTCTGCTTCAAAGCCTCTGCAGCTTTCTGGGTGGAGCTAGAAGATTTGCAGGTCAGTCGAGGCAAGGTTTGGACGAATAAGACTCACAGGTCAATCTTCTTCTGAAGACCTACGATTTGATCATGGAGTTTGGCAATGGCCGATTTAAGCTCCAGTACGCCTTGATCAACAGCAGTGATTCGCCACGTCTCTGGCGGAGCATCCTTGTCGATGAACTTAATTACCTATGGAAAAATGGTCAAATGAGGACGTGATAGAGTGTCATGGCTCACCTGCTTATCAACAGTAATGATGTTCTTATCCCTTTCCAAGAACTTGATCAGAACATTTGCGTCCGTCTCACTCATAATGCAAGTCTCGCCGATACAAGCAGCAAAATCCTTGCGGAAACCTTCTATGCTGTATAGCATGTCACCTGGTCCCCCCACTTTCGTCTTCTGTTCCGCCAGGATTTTCTCGGCGGCGGTTTCTAGTAGGCTGAGGATGACGTATTCCCCATGCCATTTCAGGTCGGCACTGTTTGAAGCAAACAAGCTATCGGCGCCTATTTGTCCTAATGCCCACCAGAACGGCTTGGCTATTAGATATGACGCGACTAGTGAGGGAAGGGCATGAAGAAGCGAATGCGACGCGTAAATGGACTGTGGCAAAGACAGGAAAGCGGAAAGAGGAATGAATGCAGGTGGTGACTTGCTGCTAGAAGGTTCTATTAATGCAGTCTTCGCTGGCAGACAATATCAGTAACGATGTCAACGCGGCAAAGAGGACCCACAATGACTGTACTCAAGCCAGCTGGTGTTCCAACACCCTCAACCCTCAAATTTTCACTTATTCTTGCGGACGCATTCAGCACTAGTCTGCTAGAGGTATTGGTCTGTATCCCAGTGGCGACAAAAGCTTCGAAGGTTCTCCGCCACCATTCGATGCTTGAGTGAAATCCAGCGGGATCCGAGTTCTTCTGCCAGGATATGTTATTCGAGTAGAGTGCTTGCAGTCGAGATAATGAGGTGGTACTGTATGTTGGAAGAGTAAAGAGTGAAGATTGCTGCGATGCCATGGCAGTGAGAAGTCAAGAGCTGATTATTGAAGTCGGAGAACAAGGACGAGCCCGTTCAACTTCAAGGCCTTGAGCAATAGAGACAAATAAACTAAATTTAGATATGGTGTCCCGTGATCACACAATTCGATGCAAGCCGAGGAGGATATTTATTCTGGTTGTCCGTCCTACACAAAGGTGCTATGGTACTGAACACAGACTTGAAGGCACATTCATATTTGGTGCAGACATAATAGATCTATCATCCAATAATGTGGTTCAGAGCCCTTTCATAGTGGGAAGTACGAGCCATGGCGGAAGAGGCGGGGGCAGGTAGTGGAACATCCAGAGAACGCCTCGCAGGCTTTTTGTAGTAGACTGGAAATCTTTTACCAGTTGAAGTAGGTGGCCGATAACCTTGCTTGTGAACAACTGTATGAGTCAGCTGTGCAGATTGGCTTTTCTTGTCCTTCTGTCTATGACTTAACCTCCATGGGCGTGTTTCCCGGCTCATTTCGAGAGGTAGGAGCAAACTTGCTGGTGAGTTCGGACGAAGGTTGATGAGATGTACAGAAGATTTTGAGCCCCGATTGTCAAGTGATCGTTTCTTGGGCAGCGGAGCCAGCGAACTCCCATCGGCGTCTTGCTTCCCAAGGTCGTCCATCGATGTGGTACGTGATGGCGACGTAATTGTTCTTATAGGAAGTGGGTGAGGGGATAGACCAACACTCAGGGGTGGTGATGAGGAGTTGGGCGGCTTGCCACAACTGGATAGACTGGCAACAAGAGTCGAAGACGCTGCGTGAGAGTTCCGGCGGGAAGGTGTATCAATCGTTGCAGTGGTAGAGAGCACAGATGTACGTGGTGAGCATGAGTATCGTCGGTCTGGATAGGCAAGCATTGCGGCAGTCTCTCGATGAATCTTATCAGGTCCAAGGTAAGCGCTCTAAACTCTATCAGCCCAATGTTCTAAAGAGCCAAAGAGAAGCATACCGTGTCGCGTTCTCTACTCGCAATGATGGTTTCTCTATAATGAGATATCTCTTTTGCGGCTACTCCGTAGCATAAATCATCGGCGAGAAGTAGTCTTTCCTTTCGTGTATTAGGATAATTTTTAGGTGGGACCGGAGGAGGCAGCTATTTCTCTGAATCTACCGAGTATCTCCTACGGAGTTGATGCTTACGAGTGAGTGTTATATGTCCAGTGGGGTACCAGGGATCACTGGAAATTTCGGTAACCGCTTGATGAACTGAAAATGGCTTTGCCGATATTGAGAATCCGTTCCGTGAAACTGAAACGTCTTTTCCAGGGATGAGAGGCGACAATCTCACTGAGAAGAGCTTTGGGTTCAGAGAGAAGAGAATTTAAATGAGTGTCCAGTGTCTGAGAAGTGACATTGCCGTTCTCGACGAAGTGCAGGCTGTCTTCATTGGAGCATGCAGCGCTGGCAACCGACTGTGTTTGACGCATGCGGTATGGGCGGCTCGGTCGAGGACGGGTGTCAGGGAGTGGAGAATGAGCTTCTTGTGAAGATTCGGAATGAGTAGAAGGCGTTGCTGGAGTAGATGGTAGACGTGATCGAACATTCCTTGAAGCAAGAGGGCAGGTATTTTTATCCGAGCTCGATGGCATAGAGACAGAATCCGCCACTGTGGCAGTTGGACTCCAGACTGCAGTAAGACATCACGCTCCTGGGCTTGAACCTCATGTCTCCAAAGACGGTCCACCCCTCGAGCTGTTGCCAGTGCCTCTGTATATTGGTCGCGAAGAAGACACGCATGGGCAGCTTCATCTACGTTCTGTGCCATGTCTAAAAGATGAGGAAGGAGGTTTCTCCTCTCTGCTAGTTTCTCCTGTTGGAGGATATCTGTATATATACCCTTGTCTTTACCTTCTCAATCGTCACTTGTTCTTACTTACTATATACACACACCCCCTGTCATTACTCGATCACCTATATAGCCTGGCCGTAGATACCCATATACCTCTGTCATTTCACCTACACTGTGCCCAACTGAGGTATGTACCCACTACTGTGTCCCCTACTATGTTACTCATCCTCATTTGTAGATTGTTACTTATATTCTTTCATCAATAGGTACAGTACTTATCCAATACAGTTGTTTCACCTATGCTGTGCCTGACTGAGATCATTACTTATATTCTTCCATCAATACCTCCTGGCTCCAGGTGACCAACCATTGGTTCTCTAAGATCTCTTGCTTTATATTCCAAGTGTCATCCAGCAAACTGACCTGGTACTGGTTCAATATCTGGAAGCTCTTAGCCATGTCACAATGTGGCTATCTGCCTCGGCAGTGTGTCGTTTGGTGTCCTGTAGAAGCTGCAATGCTTCAGCAAACAATCCTTGCATTCAGAGGATCTTGTATTCCTTCTCGATGAGGGTGTCAATTAACTCATCTCAAGAGGTGCCAATGAACTTTCTATGTGATTTCTTTCTTCGGTGTGAGTGGGTGTCTGTGGCTTGCATGAGGGTATCTTTCCATGAAGGACACAAGAATTGACATGCATTTTATTCTCGGAGCTGCTGCGTTGTTTACAGTAACAGCTTGTATACAACAAAAGTGCCTTGAAAAGAAGTGAATCACAGCATCTTTGAAAACAATGGAGAAAACACACACCATAGTAAATATTCTATGATAGGCGATGATATCATTGTATCATGAAAAGATGGAGCAAGATAGGTCGACAAGAAAATGATGGGGATGAGGAGACTCATTATCCATGTTCTGCACTTCAAGCAGCATAGATACATATCACCCAGATAATAGATTAGGCAGTGCCGTTCGTGTGGCAAACTGTACACTCAGAGTCACATGTCAGGAATCTGGCAGACCTGAGAGCATCGGTGAATGCTGAGGTAGCCTGGGGAAAGAAAGCGGAAAGAAGCCGGTGCCTACAAGAGCGCTTGGTGAGGTATCGCCCTATCCTCTTAGGTCCGACGCCGGTTCGGAGGGAATAACGACGAGAGAATTCTAAGTGTATTGATGTCCCTACGTCTTTTATGCTAATGTACAGAATATTTCGGAGCCGTAATAAAGTACAGGTGATTGGAGGATGAGGGAAATGAATAGGGTGAATCATAGGCACAGTATTCTGAGTCAAGGTAAAGTCATATAAGTACAGTACAAAGTAAGGACAAGTCAAAATGAAAATAGGGAGTAGACGGAGGCAGATAAGGATGAGCCGGGAGGTTGGGTAGGGTGCGTAGGCTTTAGAAGGAAACACAAACAAACTAGGGCACTTTGTAGGGAGATACAACATTGGTACGCAGGCACGTGGCAGAATAACAAAACGGGAAATCACCGCCGGTGAAGATATTCCGATATGGGTCTGTCGTGGGACTATCTTAAATCACTGGCTACAAAGATGTGTTTCGTGAGGGGAGGACTCTGCTGTTTGTTGACATAAGCCTAGGTTTTTTTCCCCACATACCAGCGACGTCCACGCTTATAGGGTCTTTCCAACTTTGTCAGGATCGGACGCACACACTGGAAACTATGAGAGGTCGCAGTACTGAATTCTTTGCCACACTTGGTACCTGTGCTTGATATCACCTTTCGAAACCCGGGCATATCCTCGTTGGCACAGTGCCCGCTGCCTGCTGAAAAGGTATCTGTTCTACCAGCATGCATGATCGCCCACACCTCAAGCCTCAGGTCCTAGGTTCTTCGATACAGGAACCGCTGATAGAGCTGCATATTTTCCGTCCATTCTCAGTAACGGTATCACTTCTCTCCGTTGGATGTTTTTGAAAACCTTTGCTAGAACACTTCGCGACGCCAAGCTGGTTTATGAAGGGAAAAATCTTTGCAAGTGGAACATTGAATGGTATAGATCATGAAAGCGAAAGCGCTGCTCTATCAGACGTCAGGGAAAGCTTACCTCATCAGCAGATCTCTGGTGTAATATGGCGGTATCCGGCCTCTTCATGCATGTCTGGGTGTCCTTGCATGCAGAGACGGTGCAGAAAAGCTTATAGAGGTGTGTCACTCCAGGTTTCCGTAATTAAATTTAACTTACGAGCTTTGCCAGCACGGACCATAAAGGGGATGAATATACAACTTTTTTTCGTTCGCCACCTTGCTCTAACAATTGAGAGGAAAGGCGCAAGGTATAACTGCCGGATGATCCGTGACAGCTTGCGCCTAGAAATGGTTTTATCCCATCTAATTTGGTCATGCATCGCGAGCAGAGCTTTTGCGTGACTTTATCCTGCAGAAATCAGGCTGATTGCGTGCCTAAACCTTAAAAAATGTATGTGAATCGCCACCCTCTGACAGGTCCTTTGAATTCATAGCGCCGATGCGAAGCACTTCTAGCACTCCGCACATTGAGATTTCAATGTTCAGGTGCGACTTGTTTAAGCTCAAGCGCGCGAAGTCGAACCAGGCGCTCCGCATGTGAAAAGTGTCGATCTTCGCTTTTCATATCCCGTCCTTGCACTACTCACATTGTTGTATCGCCGTGCTTTCTTCGCGGTGGCAGATATAAGTTGACCTCTTGATCATGCGGTCCCGTTTGAAGAGATGTTCTATCATACTCTTGCATTTCTCCTAGCCTTCGCCTTCAGCATTGCCTTTTACTTGCGAATCAAACGGCATATTCAGCATTCCACTATACCATCTATACTCTTCCTCTTAAAGCCCCCTAACGTACCTTTGGGTTTGTTCTTGCACGCTAGCGCCCGCCCCGACCAGCGCCTTGTCGGAGCATTCTTTCTCACCAACACCTTCGTCAAGGAGGACAAGTTTTCTCATGCGCAATTTAGAAACGGGGCTCAGAGTCTTCTCGCCAAGGCCAGCGATTGGCCCAAGCCAAAGCACGAAGAACAGCTGAATACAGAACACAGCCGTCTAGCAAAACACACTCAGAAAGGCTCTGGGAAGGATGGAGGCGAGCCAATAAACCCTCCCGAAGCCGGTGGAGGATGCTCTGGAAAGGAGAAGCCCAAGCCCAAGAACGAGGAAGGGCCTGTGACAGAAGACTAGGGTTCCTGTGCTTTGAGTTAAATTTCTATCTTATATCGGTCCACCGCACTCCCTTGCCATTCGTTACTATAATACTCGTTACCATATGGCAATAGTGATGTATTTTTCACAGCGAGCAAGGGTTTCGTGCACTTCTCTCTTCGAGCGGTTCTTTTCTATCGACGTTCCCCAACACAAAGCGTACGTATTTCTTCGTAAGAAGTATCTAGAGGCCGGTCCGGTTTCCGACGTAAGCCATTTCGGAGCTTGCCGTTCACCTCTCTTCACTACTTCCGTCACGACTCTTTGACCAATCTTTCATCCCTTCTCCCATCCTTTGTATACCAGCATCGACAGATTTCTGGCTTTAACAAGCAGCTGAATCTTCTGGTATTCATATCACCGCGGCGTTTGATATGAGAACGACTGACGACGCGTCTCAAGTTTAGGTCTCATCGCGCTTTCGCGAACCACCTGGTTTTCGAAGTGAAAAGAATTGCCATCTTGCACTTACTCCAGTACAGCAATGAACCGAGTAATATAGCTTTCAATGGCCCCATCACTATTAGCATCTTCGTACGACCCTCTACCAGGTTCAAGATCTTTCGACAACGTCTCAGTAACAATAAAATTTCAGACGGACATGTCCCTCTCTTCTCAGCCATCGTCAAGCAAGATATCAACCATGCGACCGTCTTGGACGCCGTCGATGCAAGAGGCACATGCTAGTGATCCTAGGATGACCAACGACGGAGTGTCGTCACCCGAGGATCATGTAAACTTTCATGAGAGCCTGCAAATAGACATGAAGGAGTTGGTTGGGGATGCTGTTGGCAACGTGAGTAATGTCTCGCCAATCTTCTGTTCTACCGCCGGCTCACGAGCTTAGATGAGTATCGGCCCGGCTTCTCGGGACATTGTCCTTGCTGCGTATGTACACTGGATACTATTCCGGTTCTCCCTTTGAACTATCATTTTAGACGGAGGGGTCTATTCATAATTGACCTCGAAGCGCCTCTGGAAATCCCGCGTTTTCTTCCCCAAGGTGGCACATGGGATGTAGCAGACGTTCAATGGAATCCACATACTTCTCGAGCACAGTACATCGTTTCCACGTCCAGCGAGAAATTGTATGTGTCATTTATCTCATACCTGCGTCTCTGATAACGTCCATAGGTTGATATGGAATCTCATGGCCACAGGAAAGTCAAATATCGAACATATTCTCTACGCTCACTATCGCGCTGTCACTGACATAAATTGGCATACAACTGAGTTCGATACAGTTGTGAGCACTGGCATTGATTCATGGGTATGGGCATGGGATCTTAGAGAACCCCGAAAGCCAATATTTGGTATGTCAAGTGCACCTCTAGGGGGTTAGTCAAGCTCATGAAAACGATAAGGACTCTGCGCTTTCAACTGTAAGATGACTGCATATTTTATTCAAAGCTACGTCTTATAATAGCCAGCTCCGGGGACGCAAGTCAAATGGAGTCGACAAGATGCCAACATTCTCGCTTCATCTCATTCCAATGAAGTGCTCATCTGGGATAGGCGTAAAGGCTCTCTTCCTATCTCCAGAATTGCAGCTCATAATTCCAAAATATACGGCATTGACTGGTCTCACCAGGAATCCAATGAGATAGTCACCTGTTCATTAGACAAGACGATCAAAATGTGGGACGTGAACGCATCACCTCAAGAGCCCAAAACTGTGATACACACGACGTATCCTGTTTGGCGTGCCAAGAACTTGCCGTTCGGCCATGGTGTAATGAGTTTAGCGCAGAGAGGGGAGGCGATTCTTGAGATGTATGCACGCTCCGACCCAACAACTCCCGTCGACGTGTTCGAAGGACATACAGACGTTGTAAAAGAATTCGTATGGAGGAGAGGTGGCAAGGACGACTCAGATATCCAGCTTATAACATGGTCGAAAGACCGGACTTTAAGGTTCTGGCCAGTCGACCCCGAATCATTGCGGGTAATTTTGCACCAATACGTATTCCCCTGCCTGGTGCTGATGTGACAATAACAGAGGGTTGGCCATGACCCACCAATCTCACGAGGACGCAAAACGGCTAGCGACGAACGACGCACCTTCTCTTTCCGAAACCCTCCCCAAGCTTCAAAAAACTCTCCGCTTTTGTCGGCACCTATCGGTCACCGTTCAATTCTTGCCGAGGTTCGTGCTGGTGCCCCTCCTCGCGAGAAATTAGTGGCGTCTTCAACACCAACTCCGCACTCTCGATCTCGAGCTTCCAAACATCCTGTCACTGCCTCATACAATAAGATGACGAGGGGAAATACTGGTAGCAAATTTGTTAACACGAGAGTGGATGCGTTGACTTGGTTGTCAAGTGTTAAGGTAGAGAAACGAAGAGGGAGCTCTTCAGGACCTGGCAGTGGCCGTAATAGCGCGGAGGTGTCGAGGATGGGTTCCAGATCGCGAGGCGACTCGGGTCTCGGAGACACTGCAGGAAGCGACAGCAAAAAGAGAAGTGAGAGCAGAAATAGACTTTTAGGAGAGGAGGCGAACCAATCGTTACAGGATGAGTGAGTACATTTCGCTAAGTCAATTCAGCTGTATTCCTTATAAATCTTATGCAGAATTACTTCTGCGCTCACGAAATTGGCTGCTTGGAAAGTTACTTTGGAGAAGGTCAGAGATGTTCGAATGCCTTCTGAATGTCACTTAACTTCTCTTCAGCACGATCTAACGAAGAAGCGAACTTGCACGCTGGGACTATATGGACCTTGGGGAGAATCCTCTACGGTCTTCATGAGGGTTACGTTCACTTTTCCTCGTGATTATCCTCAAGCAGCACACCCTGATGGGACGCCGACCGTAAATCTTGAACAAAGTCCCCTTATCTCTATCAAGAATCGCGCCTTCATCCTCCGACGTCTGAAGGCGATCAGAGAAACCCGGAGGCCTTGTCTTGAGGCTTGCCTGAGATTTCTCCTTTGCGCTAACGAGGAAGAGAATGGTCGAACAGAGGCACGCAACCATCTGGACTCTGGATCCTCTGATGACGACGACGACGAAAAGAAAGACAAGGACTTTTCTCTGACACTGAGGAACCACAAAAACTTGGCCGAGCCATGTACATCTCAAGGAACATTTGGTCCAAATGGTAGGTAAATGGATTCCTTGCAGGCTTTTACTAAATCGTCATCCACAGGAGAGTTTGTATGTTTCTTCCGTGCGCCACCAAGGATTGTACGCAATGTTCTACGCAGCAGCCGCTCCGATTCTCCGACAAAGCCGTCAACACCCCAAAATTCTTCAACCACCGTCAGCATTTACCAGTCTCCGTCGCTCGTCGCTGAAGCGGTCCGCCGTCTTGGCACCATCGCTTCTGATCGTTCCGGAAAGTCGTCAGCCGATTCACGCCCGTCTGACAACGGAGAAAACATTCTACGTGTTATGACCAATTTCTTCACGTTCTCCCAGGAACGTTTTCGGCATAATTTTGACTCGCGGCTACAGGGGGAGGTGCCCGATCACTTTGTGATTCCGTTGCGGCGTAGTACGCTCTCTATCGGGACGATATCGCATATTGCCGGGAGTGACAAGAAAGTTGCGATGCGTTATGTGTTTCAATCGCATAGTCTCTCGGATGTGTGCGATAGGAACGCTGTTGTGGCGAGAGAGTATCACCGGTTTGATCATGAGCGGATATTCATTACTCTTCGTGCTTTGTTCCATGTCGAAGGGCCTGTGCAAGACGCCGATTGGATTGTTAAATCGAGTCCTCTACTATGGCAAGTTATACGTCGCCTGTACGTATCTTGGTTTTGTATGGTTGTCTGTAGGTCTGACATTTCTGCTTCAGCATTGCAGAGCTAACTCGGCAAAAAGACGTGCAAATGCTAGCGATGATGTCTATGATAGTGCTCCAAGCCTTTGATAACCACGAGTCTTTGGAGAGCACAATGAGAAGCCCAGATCCAAAGAACGTTAACACTCCTCCTCTACGTTCCGGCCATCCCGACGGCTTCGATTACTTCAGTATGAGAAGTAGAATGGACCGTGATAGTCTAAAATCGCCTGTATGGCCCCGCCTTCCTTCTGCGTCCCCCAAAATCTTGAATTCAACGCCGTCCATATCATCGTCTGCTTCTTCTCGAGGCTCCTGGTCAAGTTTGTTCAACACTGGCACTATGCGACAGCTCATGGGCGGTGTACAGGACACCATCAAAGATGGATTAGCCACGCCAACCATGGAGGCTCGACCCCTGCTTGTTAAGACTAGATCGGTACCCATCCCCGATCGAAGTGATCGCGTGCGGCATGGTCCTGATTCACCGAAGCCGCCTCACAGTAAGGTAACGCAGAAAGACATTGCAGTGTCAAAATCTTGGAACGAGAGGGAGCATAGGCAATCGGTGTCGTTCTCGCCTGCGTCGGTATCGATGCAATCGCAAGGATCTAGCGTTGGCCATCGTGTTGTCGGGGGAACAGGAAAACGTATAATAGTGGAAGAGCCGCTGGATGAGGAAAGGTATGTGTCGTTTACTCATGCTCACTACCGCCGATGGCTGATACCTGGCGCTTGTAGTGTTGCGTCTTTATTTGATAGATCGGAAATCCAGCAATTCCTGAACTCTGTGTATGCTTACGCTGAAGTTTTATTCAGCTGGCAGCTGTACCATAAGCGACTCGAGCTACTGAAGGCCGTTCACGGACAAGAGATGTCCTGGGATATCGGTCAGCACGAGATCGGTGAGCGTCCAGTGTTATACGCGCCGTTGGTTGTTTATGTACGAGGAACGCAGGTATTGTTCATAGATGTACGGTTTTCGGCTGTCAGGGCGATATTCCGCATGGTGTTAGCGTGTGCACTTCGTGTAGCCATCGGGCGATGATGCCTTCATGCTCCGTTTGTCGTCTTCCTGTCAAAGGTACATATTTATGTGTGCCGCTGTGGACCTTCTTGACCTTTACGGTACCGGTTTATTAGGTCTTTCGCGAAGCTGTGTGCACTGTCTTCATGTGCTTCACATATCATGCTCAAAAATGGCGGACGTTACGTCCTGTCCTTCCGGCTGTGGATGTTGTTGTGAATGGAGCTAACCCTTACTGTTGCGTGTGTAAGTTATTAGCAGACGGTATTGTAACGAATTTATTTGGTCACTTTCGCTACCGACACATGACGTTATTCGAAGACTATAATAAGTGTGTAAAGTGTGTGTAAGTGGCGATAAAAATCCAGAAATTACGCTAGGGAGCAAAGCAAGTCCTGTACAGATAAATGATTACAGTACAATGTTCGAGAAGTGATGTACAAGAGGATGAACGGCTTGCTACAATGCCTCCAAAAACTTTGTTCCCCCGTTGAATGTCCGCATTGACGTTCCAGACGACTGTCTTCTTTCGTGATGCTCAACAGGACGAACAATAGGTTCTGGTGACACGGCGACTCCATCATCGCCTGGCGAAAGCGTATCTGAGGGTGTCGGCGAAGATATCCTGCTGTGGATATTTGGTAGGGACGGATGGAGTGAATGCGAAGACAGCGACCTTAGATAGGGTAAGTCTGGTACACCCGGAATATCAAAGCGGACGCTAGAAGTAGACTGTGATGGCTGTAATGGTGGGTGGAAGGGCGCATCCGGGGGTGGCGAGTACGTCATCTGCATGCTGCCATGCAAGGAGTGCCGCCCTTCCTCTATCGGTTCGGATTCCCAATCGTCTCCTGATCCTGCCTGCATCCAGCCCCTTTTCAACCCATTGTCGCTACCTGATTTGCCTCCAAAGACGCTCTTGATTTTCGACGACCACGATGACTGCGCACTGGGCGTGGGTGTAGGTCCATACGTGTATTCTAATGCTTGCTGCTGATATCGTCGCCGTCGAATCTCCCGTTCCTCATCCAAGGCGTGTCCTTCTCTTTGCAGGATAATGAAGATAGAAATACATGATATCAAAATGATGAGACTTAGCCCGACGACAAGGGCGATGAATCCTAATAGAATGGAATGGAAAGGAATGGTGAGTCAGCAAACAATTGGAATTTCTGTGGAACCCACCACCGAAGGAACCTCCAATTTTCGGAATGCCTCGTTTCTCCAGAGCATCTCCTAATATTTCAAGGGAGTCGGTAAGTGGAGCGCGGTGATAAATATTAGGCGTCATTTCAGGTCCGCCGTCAATCAGGGAAAACGGTGACAGGTGATTGGTTGCCACCTGTGGATAGATGGCCCTCTATGTGATCCTTCAAGGAAAATAGGCAGCAGAAGACGGTGAAGAGCAAGATGGAATAGCTGGCGGGAGGAGGGGAAATACTGCATTCGGTCCTCCCCGTCGCCAAGTCCCACTGATGGACCAAATTGGGCGATGACTTGTGATTGTCACGGAGAAACTGATACAAAATTTCTGGAAAACTGTCTTGAAATTGCCTGACGGTTGGAAGCTGGCCTGCTCAGGAAGGGGTGAAGGCTTCCGGTCTTACAAGGTCAATAACTTCGAAGTTTGCGCCCTAGGCACTGCTACTGATCCTATTGACGTTATCATCATAGTGACAGAAACATTATGTTCCATCAAGATCTTGACTTGACCAGTAGAAACGGACATGATTTTACTTCAGCAAATAGAGAATATTTCGACAAGGTGGCGGATAAGTATGATGACCCTCCTCAGTCTCTTAAGCCCGCTCAGAGGTGAGTACGTGACAAGGACATAAAATATGAGATTCACCATCAGCCAAAATCCAGACTAGCCCAGTCAATTCAAAGAGCGTACCCGTTTAATGAAGAATCGACAACGTTGCTGGATTTCGCTTGCGGCACAGGTACACATTGTCAAATGACTGAGCATCATTGACGTTGCTAAACGTTATAGGTCTGATGTCCAGGCAACTTGCACCACATTGCAAAAGCATCCTGGGCATCGATATAAGTCAAGGCATGGTCGACAAGTACAACACCCGTGTCCACAACCAAGGAATACCTCCAGAGGACATGAGAGCACTCTGTATCGATCTTAAAGGAGAAGAAGGCGAGCTTGACGGATCAAAATTTGACGTCGTCCTGGCGAGTAACAGTCCAAGTTTCATTCCGGAAAACACGAAATAATTGGAGGCTGCAGTGTGCCATGGCGTACCACCATCTGCCTTTCCCCCAGGAAACGACCAAGCGTCTGACTTTTTTCGTAAAGCCCGGCGGAACTCTTCTGGTCACGGATTACCAGGCTGAAAATGACGACGCGGCCTTTCCTAATGCACATGCTGATATCGTCCCCCATAAAACTGGTTTCAAGGAAGAGCAAATGAAAGAGATGTTCGACAGAGCCGGGCTGGACGCGTTTTCACTCGAAAAAATCATTTCGGCCAAGATGCATGGGCATGGTGTAAAAATATTCCTCGCGAAAGGAGAGAAACCTTCGTTGTCTATGTGACTCCGTAGCCTGGCAGCGGCATCCATTTTTCTACATTTCAGAGGCCTCGTTATCCGCGAAACAATTAAACGCGGCATCGTCCGGCTTACGGTCCGGCAGCTTCTTTCCATCCAATCCCACGAGTCGGGTATTATCTGTCCCATCTCGCCTTCCAATCACTGTAAGTTACATACAGTACTTCAAACAACGTACGACTAAACCTTATGGACATTCTCCATATACTCTTTTTCGATCCCAAGAAGGGCTTCAATCATCCCTGCCACCGGCAGCTTCTAAGCGCTCAAAAACAGTTAATTCCGATGTCACTGTCTAAAAAAACCTCAATTCCTCCGGTTTGAGTCACAGGCGGTTGTATCTACCTCAGCTCAACTGCGGTACGGGAAAGTATCAGCTTAAGTCCCGAAGACCTAGAGCTCACTTCCTTTCTCCATGGACGCTGACAGTGACAGACAGAAATTTGACGATCTCCAGGTACGATTGGTCTTCCGTACAGCACCACTAAATGGGCAGGAAGATGCTGATGCCCCTGCATAGTTCGTGATTTTACGCACTACCCCAACGTTACTTTGCCGTGATTGTGCAGTAAAAGGAAACCATGGAAGTCGAAGGCCGCCGACAGCTCGGGAACAATGGATGGTTTACTATTTGGCCCTGCTACACGTTGCGTGGCGCGTGGTCTAGATAAAGTCCGACATCTTTCTGTTTTTCGGTTCAACATTTCCTTTAAGTCTCTTTGGTCTGTTTCACTGAGTTTCTAGTTCAACAGGAAACGTCGTAGCTGATACAATGGCGCGCCTACCCGACCCGCTGGCACAGATTCTCATCGGTTCGACATCCTTCATCAAGTTGCGCAGTTGATTAACACGGTGTTTTAATAGGTGCTACTTTTGCTCTGGTTCTCTTTGGAATTGTGGTTTTTCAGGTGCGTCCCGCAGTGTTATTCTTGGTGTATTCTGCGGGAACTGAAACTCTCAAAAGACATGGAACTACTTCAACAACTTCCATTACAAGTGCGCGTACTCAAATGTCGTAAACGAGCCGTCTTCTCAACATCTTTGATATGAAGGGATAATGGTCGTTTGAAGGCCTTCGTTGCCTCTCTTTTTGTGCTCGACTTTGCGGCGACTATCTTCTTGCTCATTTGGTTTGTCTTCCAAAGTATGTCGTGCCGGTGCCACTTCTCATTCCCGAAATAAAAGGTTGTATCGCGTCTTGGTCACCCGGTGGGCGGATGATGTATCTCTTGTTCAGATTTACTGGAGTGAGATCGCTTTTTTCCTTCATATATCGGATAAGACTAACTGAAATGATCATTAGCACTTGTAACAGGTGAGGAATTCTGATAAGCAACCTCTACTCTCATTAAACTCGACGTGCCTCCTTTAGGACCTGTTCTTCTCGTGAGTATTGAGAACCGATTGATGTTTGCAGTTCTGACTCGTTGCCCAAGGGTACCATCGGACCATTGGTCCTGATGTTCTTTGCTTTGAGGATACACGCCCTTATTACTAGATGGTGGGTCCCGGGGGCAATATGCGTTCTTGCACTTGCCTCATTCGGTAATGTCCTTCCTATTGTTTTATAACGCGTAAAAGGTTAATAGGTTGCAGCTGGTGGTATCGCCTCCGGAGTCGTTGGTGCACATATGGCTACGTTTGCTGACCTGGAAAAAGCCAAAGCCTCACTTGGCGTATGTTTGGTCCCGGCGGCCATAGCCAACATTATTATCACCGGCGCGATGTCGCACTATCTGTTTCGTCGAAAGGACAAGTTCAGTCTCGCCAGCAGAACTCTGGACACGATGATCCAAGGCAAGTCTACCGATAGCCCTCTCTTGTTTCTCATTCTTATGCTTCCCGCTTGTCGGATAGTATCTGTCCAAAATGGTCCGTCTTATCTCAGTTTTCTTCTCTGTGCATATGCCCATTTAACATGACAGGCCTTGTCACATCCTTGTTGGCATCTGCACAAGCGATTCTGTTTCTTTGTGACGTGAGTTCATGGCGTTGCTATACTTCGATTTACTGATGTTCGCGCATTTAGTCCGGGCCCTACTATCTTGGTAGACCTCTTCCTGCGATCCTCCTTGCCCTTTTCTGACGTATCCGTCATCGTAGCACTCTCCTTCGTTATGCCCAAGCTCTATGCGAACATGGCCTTATCCGCGCTCAACTCCAGAAAAATAATCGACGTGAAAAAGCCTGAGGTTATCGCCATGCCTTCAGGTGATTACGCCTCAAATGCCTACATGGTGAAGCTTCCTTTTTCCCATATAGATGTGGTAGCATTCACTGATCTCATCTACAGCCACACCGTACAGTACACGAAACCCCAGGTGTAAGTACTCCTCTCATTACTGTTACTCCTCCTAGCTAGAATGGATTACCTTTTCTAACCAGGTTTTCGTCAACGTCGAGACGACGCGTGCTCACGATACTGATCTCAAGGATGCGTGGGGCGGTAACCTTACCCCATCGGAAAAGGAATCACCGCCGTCCAGTTCGAAAGACCTGCCTGTCCTTCACGAACAAAATTGTCACGCCCAGTAGAAGTGTCTGTCCAAGTTGTTGGTACCATCTAGTTGTATTCTATTTGTTGAGAAAATCTATGTATGTATGGTTACTGGTATCACCGTAGTCGATTCTTTGTCCCCGGGTGGAATAATCAGCGCTCTTTTGACTAACTGTACTCTAGTATTAGGTTCGACCCGGCTTTCGGGCCGGAGCGATGCCGTGATTGCGTCAATACCCGGACCGTGGCGATGACGTATTTCTGATGTGGTCAGAGTGCCGTGCATGCGTGATCGAAAACACAAAAGTTAGATAAAAGTGGAGAGTAAGTGCGGTAGCAGTTCAGATCTTCCATCCCCCCTCACTGATATGTTGGTCGTTCTCCAGATCGCATGTACTTTTTTGGCCACCCTTGTGGCATACGGATTCTATAAGCTCTTTGCGAGCTTTTACCTTGAATACACGTCCCCCCTTAAGGACCTTCCTGGGCCTGATAACCCGAGCTTCTTCTTCGGGAATTTGAAGCAGATATGGGCGTCGGTATGCTTGTGGTCATAGCAAACATCGATAGTTGTTGTAATGATTGTTTCCAGGAGGACAGTAATTTGAACGCTGAGTGGGTCAAGCTATATGGACGTACCGTTAAATACACTGGCATCCTTGGCGTAAGGCATTTGCTCTTCATGTTTCCCTCCATACTTATCTCTTGCAGGGGAATCGATTGATCACGACCGACCAACGGGCCCTTTCTCACATCCTCAATAATGCTTACGACTACCCCAAACCGCCCCATAGCCGATTTAACTTGGGGCGCATAGTCGGCGAAGGTTACCTTCCTTCATCAATTTTTGCCAACTCCCGAATAATCTGCCTGTTGCAGGCCTTCTTGTCGTCGAAGGAGAAAAGCACAAGCAGCAGGTATTTAATTGCAAAGTATGGGAATGTTCATTCATTACTTCTGGTCTTGTGATTGTAGCGAAGGGTTATGGTGCGTATGCCGAGAGTCGCAGATTTCTATAACGCTTATACGTCAACAACAGAACCCGGCCTTTGGACCCGCCCAGATTCGTGAACTCAACACTATATTCCTTGAAAAGTCCCTTCAGGTATGGAATTCTGTGGCGGATATTCGTTCTCTGATCGACGACCGTTAGTTACGAGATTTATGGACAGCAGAATGCACGGCAGCAGAAGGGCCTTTTCACACTAACGTACTCCCATGGTTAAGCTCGTTAACCTTGGATGTCATTGGTTTAGCTGGTTTGTACTGGTGCTTTGCATTCTATCGTTTCTTAATACATATCGCAAAGGCTTCAACTATAAATTCAACGCACTCAACCCCAGTCGTACCCCAAACGAGCTGAACGAAGCGTTCACCGAAATCTTTGCAACTGCTACGCGAGCAAATCCGTTGGTCTTTATCAAAACCTTCTTTCCAGCATTACGTTTTCTCGTAAGTTCTCCGCCTTTGTCTCTGAGCAGGTCAGTCATTTACGATCGATTAGCCTGATCCACGAGATGCCCAAATTAATAGAGCCCACGGAACCATGGCTCGCATTGGGAATCAGCTCCTCAATGAAAGCCACGCCCGTCTTCGAGCAAGTGGGGAGAAAGGCAGCTCGAGTGCTCGGGATCTTCTATCACTACTTGTCAAGGCCAATATGTCTTCTGATGTTGGTGAACATCAGCGCATGGCCGATAGTGATGTTTTGGCCCGTAAGTGTATCGTACTATCTGTTTGACTGTCTGGTGCATCTTAGTATCCAACAGAGGTTCCGACTTTCTTGGTGGCAGGGCACGAAACGACCAGGTGAGTGATACTGAAAGAGATAGTTTGTGTGCCTGACCGTCTCGGTTAGCACTGCGACAACATGGGCTCTTTTTGCTCTGACTCAAAGTCCAGAGAGTCAGATCAAGTTACGGGATGAGTTGCTTCAGGTTGATACCGATACACCCACGATGGACGAATTGAGTGCTTTACCCTACTTGGATTGGGTTGTTCGGGAGACATTACGCGTGCATTCTCCTGTCCCTTCAACCATTCGATGTGCGGGAAAAGATGATGTGATCCCTTTGAGCCAGCCATTCACCGACAGGAAAGGCAGAGTCCAGGATTCTATCAGGTATGTAGTTACTCCCACGCCGACCAGGCACTTATTCAAAACATCGAAATCAGGATCAGAAAAGGCCAGACTATCCTGATACCAATTTCTACGGTCAATCGAGATGAAGCCCTGTGGGGCGAAGACGCGAAGGAATTCAAGTTCGTCCCGGCTAACTTGTGTACTGGTACCCCGTCGCTGATCATAGGAAACCAGACCAGAAAGATGGGAAAAGATTCCTGACGCGGTGAAATCTATACCCGGTGTATGGGGAAATATGTTGTCATTCATTGGCGGCCCTCGTTCGTGTATCGGGTACCGCTTCTCCCTAGTGGAGTACGTGATATGCATTTTGATCCGTTTCGTGGCGCTCCGTCTGACCAAATCCATAGAATGAAAGCTATCATGTTCACCCTCCTAAGAGCATTCGAATTCGAATTAGCCGTCCCAGGAGCGGAGATCGCGAAAAGGTCAACCATCGTGCAACGGCCATTGCTCAGAAATAATCCCGGTGCCGGGAATCAATTGCCCATCATAATCAAACCATACCAAAGAGTTTGAAGAATGGTGTCTGTATTTTCGGTCAGGCTCCATCAATGATGTATACTACATTTTAAAGATGACAATTAATGTCCTGATGGTCTCTGTGAACCGGTACAATATTGGGTTGCTACATTTGTGTGAGGGCCGACGGTGTCCGTCGGATCATTTCTTCCTTGACCTCCGACGGACATTAAAAGCGGTGAGAACCAGCGAGAGCTTCAAGATCATATATAAGCGCCTATGCAGCTCGATGTGATGCACTGGCACCACTCTAGCCTTACGTCTCTTCAGCCGCATCGCACCACTCATATATCATGGTATGAGTCTACCACGCCTTTATAATTTGTCATCTGACAGTGTCGCTCCCAATTGCTGTCTCTTATGGCTTGCAATACAATATTTTCAACCTAGTTCTTTCCTGTTGTGTTGGGTGCATTGGCAGGGTATTGTTTGCTTCGGTTGTGGAAACTCTTTTGGGATGCACGCGCTTCTTTTCTTCGACGTATTCCTAGCCCGGAAGGAGGGAACCTTATTCTTGGTAACTCTAGAGAAGTGTTAGCGTCCCAGGCAAGTACAGCAGCAGCCTCATTTAGCTGATCAATCTGATGTACCTGTAGAGCATTCCGGGCGTTGTCCGTGAACGCTGGCTTAAACAGTACGGACCTACATTATCGTACAGAGGAGTCTTTCCAGTGAGATTATCCCACTTTTTGATCTTCAGAGGCGATTGACACGCGCTAACAGACGAGGCATCTTTTGACCACTGACACGAAAGGTATGTATCGTCATGTCATAGGTTTCTAGAATGAGGGTCCTCAAAATCTGAATAGCAATATCTCATGTTCTGTTCAATGCGTATGACTACCCCAAGCCTTCTGTCGCACGCAAACTTCTTGGCGATGTCACTGGTGAAGGTCAGATATTCACCCGCCGTTCTTTGCCCCCGATTCACTTGCCTTTGCAGGCCTTCTGACAGTGGAAGGTGACAAGCATAAGCAGCAGGTATGCAGATAAATTCTTGGGCAATGTTAAATGCATGCTAAGCGCAAGTTCTCAGCGCAAAATTATGGTAGGATTCACTTGATACATGATAGGAGCTTCCACTAAACCGTCGCAGAATCCAGCCTTCTCTCATGCTAACGTCCGCGAGTTTCATGAAGTGTTTTTGGATAAAGCGATCCAGGTATTCATTCATCTCTCCGTCTGAATAGCGAGCCATTTTGACCTCTCTCCCGCGATAGCTTCGGCAGATGTGGACAGCAGAATGCCTCAAGTCTTCAGGGAAAGCACAAATCGATACCGTGTCATGGCTCACTCGTTTGACGTTGGACGTCATAGCCCGTACTGGTATGTACGGTTGTTTCACTCGACCAGTTCTACTCATAGAGCCAAAATTAGGATTTAATCACAAAATCGACTCTCTGGACATAAACGGTACACAGAACGAAGTCCATCAGGCACTTGTCGAACTGCTTCGTGTAGCCAACGAAAGTCGACTGATGCGTTTGCTCTGGGCTCATATTCCCGTTTTGAAATGGATTGTACGTCTTGCGCTGCGCAGAAGATAAATCCGCCGTTCCAACTTTACTTTTTTTTTAAATAGCCAAGCAAAGGTAAAGCCCGATTACAAGCTATTCAGGACACCTTGGTTCGTCTAGGAAGGCAATTGTTAGCGGAGGCCAAGGTCGCGGGCGACGCAGAGAAAGGGGACAACAAAGATTTATTTTCTTTGCTGGTCCGGGCCAATGCTTCACCAGACGTTCCTGTCAGTCAGCGCATGAACGATGCGGATGTTTTTTCTCGTGTGTCTTCTCTTCCTAGCATATCGACGCTGCTTGTTGACTTTGACTTTACTAACAGAGGTCCCAACGTTCTTGCTTGCGGGACATGAAACAACAAGGTACGTTCAGCTAGGAATTGTATGTAACGCGGATACCACATTGACGCCTCCATCAAAAGCACCGCTGTGACTTGGGCAATTTACTACTTGTGTCGGTACCTCGATGTTCAGACCAAGCTTCGCCAAGAGCTTCTCGCCGTACCTACAAGCACGCCCACAATGGAGGAGTTGAACGCCCTACCGTACCTGGACTGGGTTATCAAGGAAACCATGAGAGTGAAGCCTCCCGTACCCTCGACGATACGTGTCGCAGCTAAAGACGATGTGATACCTCTGCGCCATCCGGTCCGTGATACATCAGGCATGTTGCACGATTCCATCCCGTGAGTTCCCCTTCAAGTTTGTCACCAAAGGAAGGAAGATCACTGAAGAGTTGGGACGTATTAGGATTAAGAAAGGCGAGATGATCGACATTCCTATAATGGCATTGAATCGAGATAAATCGTTGTGGGGAGAGGACGCGGAAGAATACCGGTGTGTTCAATTCATGCATTTACTTCTTTCTGGTCTTTTTGACGACGATGGGTTATACGCAGACCGGAACGGTGGGAGAAGATCCCTGAAGCCGTGCAGGCGATTCCGGGCGTGTGGGGCAATATGATGACTTTTATTGGAGGACCTCGGTCGTGTATTGGCTATCGGTTTTCAATCGCTGAGTATGTTCTTCTTCAGCTTGCCTCCGGACTTGCAGTAAACTGACGATACTGGGTAGGATGAAGGTCATATTGTTCACCATTATTCGAGAGTTTGAGGTGGAGCTTGCGGTGCCATATGAAGATATCATCTCGAAAGCTACTGCGGTGCAACGTCCGGTGCTGAAAAGCAGTCTAAATGATGGTTCTCAGATGCCTATATTTGTTACAATCCACCACCGCGAGGGATAGTGAAACTACTACGAACGGCGAAATATTGTACTATTAATTTTACAAGTTGGACATGATCATACATTGAGATAAACGAGTATTTATTTAATATGAAGATCGGCTTGCCGGTGGTAGAACAGAAGATTGGCGCGACATTGCAGGAGCTTGACCACGATGACATTCAGGCTATTCTGTGGGAACTATTGGAAGTGGGGGATTTCGTGTGTGGAACTGATGTTCCTTGGATGCCCGGTTGTATGCGGGATCAGAGAGAACGGGGGCTGGAGGAACACAGATGTCTCCTAGGTCTGTGTTTCCCCCGAGTTGATGTGGATTCAGTGTGTGGATAGTCAGTTGGGGGGGGGGGGGGATGCAAACCAAGGGACTGCGCAATCCTGTATCATGGATGCAGCGTGCTCCGTATGTATTTGTGGCCCCCAACTGCCCTTCCCTGCTCCGTGACTTTGGAAGATCGTGTCCTACTATGATGAACCACCATTCCTGCAGATGCGACTCTCGGCGGCTATGTTCTACGTCATTTACAGCTTCTTCAAACATTTTGGGCCGTGTACCCATTTTGCCCAGAGCTCTGGCATACCCACCCCCTCCCTCCCCCCGATTGAGGGACCGACCGAAGCCTCGCCATCACACACTGCGGCTTACTGATCGGCCAGGCATGTACACTGACCTAACACAGTGGGAAGGTAACGGGCATGGGCTGCCTCTTACCCAGTCTCAAAAAACATAATAATGGTTGTTACCGATGTAGCTAGTAATTTGAAGGATTTTGTTGCTGCGTGAGCGTATGCACTGAGAACCCTCGACGATGACTGACATCACAGTAAATCTACCAATCCAATATAAATGTCACTTATACACTGCTAGCTAAACATACAGACCTCAAATACATGTACCTCTTGCCTACCGCAGATCATCATCAATCTCAACAACCGAAAGGGAATAACTCCGGTTGCAGTCCTCTCTCCTATGATAATCATAACATTCAGACGATGTGCTTACATTATATGAAGAGCGGGTCACTGCCAGTACTTGATAGCTACAATACAAAAATGTATACTGTACAAATTGTATCCCTAACGAGTAAAATTCTAAATTACGTTACACATCCGATTGTCCAAAGGAAGACTAAGTCCATTAAGTATTACAGTAGATACCGGCTCGAGTCAAATTTCATATCTGACAAAGAAAGCAATCAGTACAGGGCTCAAGACGAAGCAAAATATTCAGAGATCAGAAGGTAAAAAAAAAAAAAAGGCAATGATCGGTTTTGTCTCCACAAGAGTCAGAACAGGTCTGATAGGTATACATCATCGTAGGGGCGTGGAAAGGAGGACTCACCAAAATACATGTCGCGGTGCGTAGCCCGGGAAGATAATCTATAGGAAAAAATCGTCAGTTCCAGTTCATCATCATCATCAAAGAGACGAAAAGGGTCAGAAGAAAAAGGCAATATCGGTTATCCACACAACCACATGGGTTCGGAACAGGTCTGATAGGTTTATCATCCCATAATAGCAAAAGAAACACACTTGCAAACCGCATACTCACAGCAATATTGATCAACATATGATCTACACAGGGATTCGAGTTGGCAGAGGGGGGGGCATAGCAGTGACCATAGGCCGCCACTTCGTCCTGGCAGGGGCCGTCTGTCCATACACCCAATCCTCCTCCTCGATGTTCCCATCGGATTTACACCGGTCACAATCCTCCACGAACACGCCCACACAGGAATCCTCAGGGTGTATCAGCACTTCCACACTAGGCCCACTCTCCTGCACCTGGAGAAGTTTGAGTGCCGCAATCAGGTCGTCAGCAAGCGGCGCTGCATTGGGTGGGTCCTCCTTGATGGGTTCCCAGCCCACAGGCGGTGATCCCGGCGGCGAGATGAGGAAGTTCTTCTCGACTGCGGGTGGCCGCAGGAAGTTGGCTTGGGGCACCGGCTGGCCAAACGTCGTGATCAGGGGGTTGGGGTCGGCTCTGTACACGCGCAAGATAATTTGTGATCTGGGTAACGAGGGGGGGTCAGAAAAGGGGGAGGGGGATAATCGACCGACCAACCGACGGAATACGTACAGGTCTGAAGCACCCCGCACGATAATGGGATCGCACTCGATCTTGGCGACTTCCGCGTGCTCCTCTTCAGTGTAAACCACGATAATTCGTCCGAACCCTGGTAGGGGCACCCATTGGTTGATTTCGCCGTATCTTTCAAAGTGCGATTTCAAAATGGTGAGGACGACAGGGTGAAAAAAAGCCTTGGGCAAGGAGGTCACTGCAAGCGAGTTGGTGCGCTGCGACAATGGCGACGGCACAGGCGATGATGTAGAAGGAAGAGAAATCATGTAGTCTGACATGGTGGGCAAAGAAGAAGCAGTGACGTGAGGAGGCAGACGATAAACGTGGAGTCGATTTTATACCAATTTTTTTTTCCCAGTAAATGCTGACATAAGCGGACTTAACTGCGCCGTAAGTAGAGGTTGCTGTGCTCCGTCAATTGCGATCCCTTACAAGTTTGCACTGGGTACCGTGGCATCGCTACTGTATCGCAGTCCTATCATGTGGAACCGTACCTGTGGACCAAGTGGTCTGACTTACATTGCTTCAATTACTGAACATACATATACAACCTACTAGTACGGAGACTAAGAAAACCGACTCGGGAAAGTGAGGTGATGGTGGCGATATACAGTAGTATAAGTGGATAAACGAAGAACGAAAACATGTTCACAGAATCGCAAAATATCACCTGCAAGGAGAATATCAAATCAGACCGATAGAATGCCGGTAATTAAAGAATACATGCCCTTGAAACCTGTTGTGTACACAGAGTCATGAAGCGCTCAGCGTCATCTCTCCTGTGTCCTTCTCGGAGAAAAGGCAGTGCCTTACTCGCGCAGGCGGTCCTCAACCTGGGCTTTCTTGGTCTTGAGAGCCTCGACCTTATCATGTTTACTAGCGTCATACGCAACCACTGTTTGGTTGAAACTGAGAAGCATCATCAGAACAAACATTCAAGACCGAAAGATGCATACTCACGGGTTTTCGGGCGATTTCTGGAACTGCTTGTGCAACAAATCCTGTGCGCGGCGGACGGTTAGTGATTACAACGGTACAGACTGCAAGAGCACCGACTTTGTATTGCTGTAGCCGCAAGCCAGGATGCTAACACAAGAAATCAGTACACCGGTCAAAGCTGTTGTGTATCCTGTGTGTACGTACATCCTCTTTGAGTTTAGGCAGTTCGCGTTCCTGGTAGGCTTCAAAGGCGGCCTGGGATCCCAGCCATTAGTAAATCCGCCACACCCGAACCTAAGAAGATGACTCGCCTTGTATCGTCGCTACAATATGTGATGTGATATTCAGCACCACCATAAAGCAAGAAAAACCCGCGCAGATATTCACCTCGGGATGCCTCTCAAGACCTGCCGCCTGTTGTCCGACGGATGCTTTGTCCATCTTGGCAGTGACAACCTCCAGAAGATCCAGGGCATTATCGATACCCGTCGCGGAGAAACTCTCTGGCTCCGTCGATTCCCGCTCCTTCCCATCGTCGCCTAATCCGCCACCAGCAGCGATCGCACCAGGTCCAGCAGGCTTTGGGGCAGGTTTCGCGGCCTTCTTAGCACCGGCCTTGGGTGCAGCCTTGGCTTTTGGTATAGCAGCCTCTTCTTCAGCGAGAATCCGGGCGTTCTCTGCCTTGCGCTCGATTTCAGCTTTGCGTTTAGCTTCTTGCTCCTCCTTCTTGGCCTTGCCACCTTTTACGTTGGTGTCTTTCCAGGTCTCGGCTTCCTTACGCTCCTAGTAGGCAGCGATGGGTAAAGATCAGTTAGGTAGACAATTAACGGATCCCTGCCTTACCGCTTCTGCTGCTGCTGCTTCCTTCTTTTTCGACTCGTTCTCAGCCTTTTTGGCTCTTCCACTCTCCTTCTTTGTGTTTCCACCTTTGGGAGCCATGAGTATGAATAGACTGCTGCGAGAACGATGTGGTAAGAGTCGGGTAGGAGCCGTGTTGCAATCAGATTATCTTATCTGAATGTAGTCACATGATAACATCGATCGGCACCCGGACCGGAAATAGACAAGCTGTATCGCACCTTCATCTTGTGTTTCTACTCAACGACGCTTTACCTTTCTAACCATAACCCCTTCCATTTACTCCTCCTTTCGTGTTGACTATGGCCGATAAAGTCGCCAAATGGTCGTCTGGTGCATCCTGTACGATGGTTTCTCAGTAATCCATCCTAGAGAACTAGTAGTGACGCGACGCTGTAGATGGACCCGTGCTGTCCCAAACTGACCTCTACCTGCTCAACCCCACTCTTGAGGTACACCCCATCTTATGCGGGAAGAGCTCCAAGTTCCAACTTGTGTTCAATCTTAGTAACGGTCAGTTGGTGTGTAGACGTTTCGTTATTGATGGGCTCATACAGCGTTTGAAAGGACATGCGGGAGGGTTCAACCCTGATCAGAGAGACGCCGATCTCCCTTTTAACGCCAAAGACGAGCCTGCGACACTCCCCCGTGTCCAGCAACTGTATATCATTACGGACATCACGCCTTGGTGCACTACTGTTAAGAACGACCGGGGGGTTACAATGAATGACATTTGCCAAGCAATGTGGAGAGAGTGGGTGTTCTTCGTGTGTTTGACCTCGGGTGCTGAACGTTAGCTATTGCAGTTATTCTGAGCACTACGTAACGGATACGGAGTTTGGGACGCTCCCACCAAGGCTGCAGGAACAAGTCAAGCGGGCGAGTAGCTCCCGAGGTGCTAACGCTCATTGGAACATGTATTATTCCCCCGGGCAGGCGGCGACTCGATTCAGGAGATTTGGTAGGCTTTGTTTGCCTTTGTGGCACCTTTCGAGTCATTCTAATAGTGCTTGTGCTGAAGACTGGCTCCGGGATCGGTACTTTTTCGAGAACTTGCGTCGAGATGATGCCTATGCAGAGTCTCGTCTCGGCTTCAAGGCTCCAAACATTTTCATCATGTCCTTGACAGCTTAATCATTGACATATGTTTCAACACCCTTCTGGCTACTTACCGGGTGTATAACATTTTTTTTTTCCTTTTGTAATCCATAACCGTGTAGCTCAAAATATTCAGCCATCAAGTCAGGACAGGCTGTTACAGGCCTTGTAGAACGAGATGCGTTTAATTGTACAGCTAAAGCCTCCAAATGGGATACTACATCAGGAAGAATCAAGTGGCTGTACTCACGTGTAATTTGAATTCGCTCGATTTGGGCTGTTGGATTTAGAGAAACCCTCTAACCACTTACACCGACCTTTCATTCTTGTATGACCCCCCCCCAACCCCCCCGTCCGATCGGATAAAGTATACGTACATATCTAACGTCAGTATCCCAAAGGGTGAGGTCCGCAGAAAAATAATCGCCTTCGTCGGTTCTCGATCGCGAAAGGAAGGGGGGGATATTTTGTTGGGATAAGGAAGGGAACAGCCTGGTGCGTGTATCCCAACGAAATGGATTGTGCCAGAGGTCTCATGCTCCACGCCAATAGAGTCATACTCAATTCGGGACTTTTAGTCCAGAAATCATCGAGTCAAATCGGAAAAAAAGTAAGTGAAACCATCACGTATCTTCGCGTATCTCATCCTGTTACATAGCGTGCCTGCGTCTGCTTGAGCCATATTTTACTAAACAGCACCGTTTCCGGATACTCGGAACTAGAAACAATACTCGGATACCGAATTCACAATGTCAGCCGGTGGTACTCCGTTTATTCCACCTCTTGTCAGCCCCCAGAATTCGCCTAATACTGCGGTTCAGCCCTCGCTTCAGCCTTCAGCTGCTGCTGCTGCTGCTGCTGCTTTTCAAATGCAGAGTACACCCTATACTCCATGGCAAGGCCCACTACCCAATGGAGGTTATCCGATTTTTCCCAACTCTCCATACGCCCCAGCACCAGCGTTCATTCCTCAATTTACACCAGGACAAGGCATGCCTGCCCAGCTCGCGACCCCCCGGCCGAACGTTCTTTCCAACGGCTTTTCCCAAGACTGGTCAGGCTATCCAAACCTGTCGCCTTCACCGCAAGAAAACAGTTCTTGGGGTAGCTCCAGTTCTGCACAGAGCGCGCCGCTTCCTCAATCGGGTGGGACGCCCTATCCATCGGCGCCGCCACAGCTAGGGAACGCAGGGGCGTGGGGTATGTCACCGCCTGCTGTTGTGCCGGGCGGTTGGCCTTCCCCCCCCGGCGGCGGTTATCCCGGAGCCTCACCTTGGGATCAGCAACCGAGGATGGGTCAGATGTATACCCCCGGTGGTATGGGTTTGGGTGGACAGCTCCCTGGGATCCATTCCATGTTTACGCCAGGTGGCTCGGGGATCCCGGGACCGCTCCCCCCGATGAACAGTCCGATGGCTGGTATGGGCGGTGGCGGGTTGCCGCCTATGATGACTCCGGGCGGTGCTGGGATGGGCGGGCCGCTACCCAGGATGGGCGGCATAGGCCAGTTGACCCCTGCGTTTGCTGGGCTTAACCTTGGCGGGATGGGTGGTGGAATGGGTGGTGGAATGGGTGGTGGAATGGGTGGTGGAATGGGCGGGGGGATGGGCGGTGGAATGGGCGGAATGGGTGGTATGGGACTTGATAATGGTATGCAGGCGCAACAGATGCAAGCACAGATGAGCCGGCAGATGCAGTTTATGCCAATGGGACAAATGCAGGCTTCTGCTCCTCAGGTCCCTCTAGGACGAGCAGGCGAGCATGTCGGTGACCGAGTCAAACCATGGACGGCCGGTGATCACTGTAGGTCTTTTTCAAACCTTTTCGCGACCACATAGCAGAGCTTCACCCATTCGTTTCTCTTCCAGACGGGCCGGTCCTCCAGCCATTCCTTATCCACAAACTAGGCGCCAAACCTCTGCTCAACCCTCTCCTTCAACCTCCCCCGGACGATCTGGGCCGCGAATACCTAAAATGGGACATGCTCCACTCTCCCAATACCTGCCAGAGCTCGAAGGACGCTGGTAATGTCTCCTGGAGCTCAGGACGCGGTGAACCGGCAACCTTCCCGCGAGTCACCTCTATCGTTCTCTACATCGAGCGGCAACTAGCGTCTATCCAGATAAACGCAGCTAACAAAGACGTTGGGGTGACTTGCGGTGATGTCATTGATGGCATAGCGCATTTCATGCGAAGGATTGTCACGAAAGACGAGGTGGATACATTCGGCGCCGCCGACAAGAAGATGGCTGTGACTGCGTACCGGCGGCATCGCTCTACGGCGCCGGGGATGCCGGGGGGTGCGCTGCCGAGGGAGATGATCCGTATGGATTTGTTAGGTCCCTACACGGTGTTTGGCGGTGTGCAGAAGAGCGACGGTCTCATTCAGAGACGATGTAACTCTGATTTCCCATGTGCATTTGAGCTGCTGTGTATACAGATGCCGATGACGCAGTCTGAGATCAGGGATCTTCAGGCTAGGCAGAGGGCGGAGGAGGAGCGGAGGCGCGCGAGGGAGGAGGCGGAAGTACAGAGGAGGGAAGAGGATATACGGAGGAGGGAGGCAGAGGTACAGAGAAGAGAGGCGGCGCAAGAGACGAGGCAAAGAGAGCTGACGGCGGAAGATGCTCACTCATCGTCGGGCAGACCAGGCAGGTCGGTGAGTAGGTCTGGGTCGACGGCGGCGTCGAGCAGGACATCGTCTACAACACGGACTGGGATTACATCAGTATCACGTTCTTCGAGTCGACGAACACCTGCAGCCACGGTTGAGACAATCAGTGATGATGATGACCAGTAAATTCAGTTTTTTTTTTTTTGTTTTATACTCTTTCCCTCTCTTGTCTCGCTCACTCCTCTTTCTCTTTCTCTTTGGCAATGTATATCCTGCATGCATTCAATCCCCTTCTCCCTCACATGTACAATTGTACTTTTTGTTTAGAATAATCTTTTACGACTGATCACGACTGAAAAACAACGGACCAGCTCACCTCAAAGCAGAACGCGTTCATCGGGACCTTGGAACTGCCACCCTCCTGATTCGAGTCTTCGTCGGGCCCTGTTAAACACCTTGGCATGTTTCTGACATAGATCCTTCACATGTCTCTCATCAAGCAGCCTCAGAATCCGCCCGTTCTCAGGCTTCAACTGCGAAAGAAACTTTTCGTATGTCCGACTATCTGCTTGGAGCTCCTTGCACCGTATGCCAAAAACTCTGATGGAAGGCGGCATTTGGAAGGAGGGGAGACCAAGGAGCACCCCGAACACGTACCAGGCATCAAACCATATCATAAAATTGACGACTCTAGGACAGCTCGCACCTATGGTATCAAGGATCACGCAGAGGAAAATTTGAGGGCTTACGGTCATTGAGAATCGAATCATGACTGTCGTCAGAGTAGATCCATGTATCCGAAGGAAGGACAAGAATTGTCGGTCGGCAGTCCTACTAGTGTAGAACATGACGGTTTGGAGAGAGGGAAAGGTGCTCGGGACGGGGGGGAGGACTGCAGGCGCGACTTTGAAGTACGGATCGTAGATGGCGAAAGTGGTGAGAGAGGTTGCTATGTGAAGGAAGGGTATCTGGGGGGCGAGCAAGTCGTCTATGCGCCCTACGTTTCGGAAGGAGCGCAGTTTCGGGAATGATGAGAATAGGCGATGGACATCATTGGCCTGGGGAATGTAGGACTGTGGGGTGATTTCGAGGACCTCGAGAGATGGGCAGGTGGTGCAGAGTGCATCAATAAGGGGACAAGGACGGGCGGTGCGGTCGCGCCCATAACTAACGTTCGCGTATGAACGGTCCGCGTTGGTAAGGGATAACTTGATGAAGGAGAGGTTGGGGAGACATGCGATAACATCACTGAGGTCTGTGATGGTCTTGTTTACGTTGTTGGTTTTGAAGCATACGTCGAGACGCTTAGTGTAACAGCCAAGGTGATGGCCGGTTTCAGCATCCTCACGCGACTGCACCAGTACTTTGCGAAGAGAAAGAATAGATGCATCGTTTACAATCGTGATATGCTCAAATAGATTTTTCAATGCGAGGACGTTCCAAAGTTTGCAGACTCGGACGAGTCTTGATCTTGATCTCTATGTGCGTTATATTAGCGATAATTTCAAGAGACCTATAGAGAGGGACCACCCACGAGAGACTTTTTCGTATCTTGAATGTGCGATTTGGAGGGTGGATGGGTGAATGACCAAGCCAAGCAGTCGGGATCGTACGCTCCTGGTACTTGAGTAGTCCAGTCGAAGATGAGCTGCCAAATCTCTGGAGGAAGCCCTACACATGTCGGTTTATTCCTTGACAGGTATTGCTTGGCCGACATGCGATGAACGTTTGAGACAAGCCGGTCCGAGTTTACCGTTCGGCTCCACTTGGTTATTATTTCCTGTCCCCCGTTTCATGTCGTTTGGTACATAGGCTCTTGTATAAGTCATGAGGTATAGATGTGCCGTTGCTACGTCCGTGACTGGAAAGGTTCCTGGTTGCGTGGACTACTATAATTGATAGAGGTGTTGCACGTTGAACTAAGGGCTAGCCAAGGCGTGCATGGTCCAACTGCGATTCTATTTGCATTGATGGCGCAGCACAAAACCCGACACGGGGCTTTATACTTAGCCGGACCAAGTACCATCGTCACCATGAAGTAATTCTAAAATAAGTACCTTATAGCAATACGAGCGTCCCAAATGAATGTAAGTAAGTACGTAAATAATCATATTATAATGTCACAAAGGTAAATGGTAGGTAGGCATATAAAACGTATCAAACCCTAAGATGTATCAAGAAGCCCTTAACCGTTCGAAGCTGAAACCCGACAAAGAATCGTCTAATAATTACTTACGAAAAGACTGTGTGTTGGAAGCAGATGAAGGAGGAGTAAAAGCACCAGCTACCGGGGTGTCGAAGGAAATAGTATTGATGCGATGCGGAAGCGGCTCTGGCTTGGACTGCGTCCGCCGAGCGGGAAAGATGTATAACCGCTTCGCAGAGTAGACAGCCTCCGAAAACGAACGAAAAAGGGGGGGATGGCTGTCGTCAGAAGAAGGGAAAACGACGGTATTCTCTGGTAATCCGTCAAGAAATGGAGTCTCAACACTCGTGCTGGCTTGAGTGTCGTCCTCCGACGGAGTCGGGCTCGATAACGGGGATATTTCTTCCCAGTTGTCGCTAACGGAGGCGATGTCATCAGATGGACCATACAGCTGGGTCTTTGACCGGAAGAACGACGGTCTGGTTGGCTTCTGAGTCCGTGGCGGTGAGCTAACGCTCTTGGCTCTGGCGAGCTGCGGAACGGGAGGAACAGCCGCATCCTGTTCAGCTTTTGCACGAAGATTGGTGTGAGATCGAGACTTGAATCGAAGGATGGTACGCTTCCTCTTTGGAGGTTCGAGTGAAAGGGAAGTGGCCTCTGGGACTTGGGCCCGCTTAGTGACGGACTTGGTCCTAGATGTGGACCGCATCCGGGCAAGAAAGCGGGATGCTCTGGACGACGAGCGGGGAAGGAGTTCCTTGCGGGCACCGCTATCATCCAAGTCCTTAAAGCTGCAGTCGGAGTCGAACCGCTCTCTGAACCTGCTGCCTGTGTTCGACTCTGCAAAATGGACGCGCGTACTGCTCTCCGCGCTTTCTGGGTCGCTAAACATCCATTCGGCTACGGGGCTGTTCTGTTCCAGTGCTCCCAGCTGAACGAAGACATCAAACACTGATGCCCGTAACACAGTAGATTCGTCGCTAGTGAGATGTGAAGGGGGTCTAAGGGTCATGGTGCCGGGGAAGACGAGTGGGAAGAAGGAGAGACGATCCGGTGGTGGGAAGGGGGGATTGGTCCGTCACATATAGCACGGATGAAAGAGCGGATTCTCAGCATCATCCGCACATGAGTTTCCTTGACGATTCCAGATGGGGCCAATAGCATGCGAGTGCCGGATGTTGTTAAAGGCTGTAATCTGCTCGAATTGGAAAGGCTGCATATGACTCGACTCTATCGCCTCGCAACCCCAGATGATGCAATATTAGCAGTGCAACAATAGAAGCGACCAACTCGGCCCGGTTTGTCTAAAAAAGTTCATCAAGCCAGAAATACTAAACCGACAGGTACAGAGCATCCCCCAGAGATCTGGACTTCCACTGGGTCGCTCAAGTGGCTTAGCTTGCGTATTCTCCAACCATTGACGTGCATTTACCTTTTCCGACTTCTCTTGAAGACGTAATTTACACGACTAAGAGCAGATAGATATTAAGAGGCTGTGGCTTTCTTATTACTTGATCATGGAAGGCAGGAGAGACCTTTCTCTCAACCTTACCGTAACGCGAGCGAGTTTCACAACTATTAATGCCTCCAACTATAATACCAAACATAAAATATTACTTAGCATAGAACGTAACAATATTAATCACACAAGCCCCTTACAAAAATCACTCCTCTTCATCAACATCCATTGAATCTGCACCAGGTTTTTCCGGTTCCCCCTCGTCATCCCTTTCCCTTTCAATAGTCCTGGAGCTCTTCACTCTCCCCCGGCCTCTACGTCCGCCTCTAGCTCTCCGAGGAGTCACAACTTCATCACTGGAATCATCATCATCTCTACCCGCACCAGAGGGTCTTCCTCCCCTAGCCCTACGTCCCCCGCGTGCTCGACGCCCACCCCGTCCCCGGCGCCCATTCGTCCCAGACCTATTATTGTTATTAACCAGCGGCGGGGCATGATCAACGTCAATCTCCCCATCATAGAATTCATTACGGGCAATCGTCCGATCCTCCCGCCGTTCCCCCGCCTTGGCATTACCGCGCTCTTCGTCTTTCTCTTCCTGCGTACGCTCTTCATCTGCTAGAAGCCCCTGGAGGTTCGGGGGTATCTCCTGCATCTCGACGCTCGGCGCACCTTGCAAGTACCGGAGCTTGTTCTTTATACTTATCGTGACGCGCTGCAGTGAGGCTGGGGTGTTTTGATTATCGACTTTCCCCGTGAGCGGTGGATGGAGTTTCCAATGTGAGTCGGCGAAGAAGGAGTCATAGACGGTACGCGGTAGTTCATTGGGTATTGACGCACCCACGAGAACGGACGTCTCGTAAGTCCAGCAGCGACTGACGTTTTTGATGGTGTATCCGCCTCCCCCGACGATCATAAGTGGGACGTTGAATTTTCGTACAAAGTTGACGCATTCGCCGTGTGCTGCGATAGACAAGTTGAATGCACCGAGACGGTCACAGCCTAGAGAGTCTGCACCGCATTGGAGAACGATTGCTGACGGGCTGAATGCGTGGACCGTGTCACCAATTACCGTCTTAAAAACGGTGAGGTACATCTCGTCATCGATACCGTCTAATAGGGGAACGTTAAGACAGAAATGTTTCCCCAGTCCACTACCGTTATCGTCCAATTTCCCAGTCCCCGGGAAGAAATCCCCGGTGTACTTGTGAAAGGAGACAGTCATAACTCTATTGGAGTTATAAAAGGCGAACTCCACACCGTCTCCGTGATGGATATCAATGTCAATATATAGAACTCGAGGATGGTATCTAAGATGGCGATGAATACTGTGCTGTGTGAGTTTCCAGTCATACTCACCTCAGGAGTTCGAGGATTCCCAAAACGATATCATTCGTGTAGCAAAATCCGCTGGCTTCCCCTCGCTTCGCGTGGTGAAGTCCGCCTGCCCAGTTGATGGCAATGTCAGTGGTACCAGCGCATAGTTTTCTAGCGGCGGCAAGCGAGCCTCCGGATGACATACGACAGAAATCGTACATATCCGAGAAAACGGGGCAGTCTTCTCCGCAGTTGAAGTTGTCCAGCATTTGCTTCATTTCTCCTTGGTTTTGCGGTGTAACTCTGGGTTGAAAAACAGTTAGATACACTTTCCATTTCATTGTACACATACTAGTACTGACTTGGCTAAAAAATCAAGATAATCTGCGTCATGGTAAACTTCTAGCTCTTCTCGTGTGGCCCATCGAACATCATATATGTGATGTAGTTGTTTGTCAAGACCGTAACCCAGCACTAAAGCATTCGTTAGTGTGAGCCTATGCGGTTTCATAGGATGCCGTTCCTAAAATACATCAACAGTCAATTGAAAACCCTTCACCATCTTCAAAACTTACGCCATAGTGTTGTGCGCCAATATCTTTAGGAAAATAATATGAGACAATAGGTCGGGAATGAGGCTACAGAAACATAAAGCAACATTTGGAAATATAAAAAGCCATTCTCCTACATTTACTCTTTCGGTGATGGGTTCCGCCGTCCCGTGAATACCACGATCTTGAAAATATGGCGCAGAGGAGAATGTCTTGGATTGAGATGATCGGACCATTTTCTAGGATAGACAAAGTCAGAGATTTCTCGGTAAAGCTTGGAATGATACTAGTTTGACGTTGTAAGCTCTCGCATGATATAAAAGCATCAGACAACGAACCGTTTGAAGTTTCTGGCTCAAACCATAAGCTCTGAGATGCAAGGAGAAAAGCCCGCGGGGTGATAGAGATACTGCAAATTAAGAGGGATGTCGCGCAAGGATGGTTGATACAAAGTCTAATACAAATAACGAAGGAGGATCAGTTGGTCGACATGTTATGTATGTACTTGCAAAACTCTGAAAATGGAAGTTTCGACGATCAGCCACCGGGTTACAAAGAAAGACAAATAACTTCCAGGCCGTCTTCTCGCCGAACACGCCTGGTTACATCTTCACCGTCGGACACTGGGAGCGGATGAAGCTCACGACTTTTCTTCCTCTGCTGGTCGCGTTTCCAGTGCAGGTCCTTGCATCATGGGGGGACAGATCCAAGGACTTTCAATACTGCCTTCGTCGTTGTGAAACGGCTGACTGCGTCGGCCAGGAACCTGCACCTCTGTCGCTTAGCCTCCGTCTAACGCGCTGGACATGCTCGGATAACTGCAAATATCATTGCATGCACGAAATCGCATCTCGCGATATTGCGCTGGGAACAAAATTGAAGCAGTATTACGGCAAGTGGCCGTTCTGGCGTCTTGGGGGTGTACAGGAGCCAGCTTCGGTCGCGTTCTCGTTGCTCAACTTTTGGGCGCATGTAAAAGGGGCCTCTCGGCTGCGTAGGGAGGTATCTGGCGAGCATCCTATGCGGATATACTATCTGCTGTGGGCGTTTGCTAGTATGAACACGTGGGTCTGGTCGTCGGTATTTCATACTCGAGGTCGGTTTGCTACATGTCGGTCTCAGCTCTCGTCTCATCTGGCCTTAGACACGCCGTTGACAGAAAAATTGGATTATTTTTCTGCTGCGTTCACAATATTATTTGCGCTCTATTTCTGTGTAATTCGCCTGTTCCACCTTTATGCAAAGCCACGATCCCGCCTCATCTTTTCCAACGATCTGCCTAGATACTGGTCATGGATACTGTGGACATCAATATGTATCGTTGCCTTTGTGTGTCATGTCACATACCTTACCCTCCTTCCCCGGTTCGACTACGTGTACAATATCGTCTTCAATTCTGTCGTGGGGATGATACATAATCTTTTCTGGCTCGTATATTCCCTTCCTGCTTCGATATCCTTGATACGAAGATTTCCTTTGCGTCCGAAGACGTATAGACCTCCATTTGTCGGTCATGCCGCGACACTGGTGTTTGTAACCACAGCCGCGACGGGACTGGAGCTCTTCGATTTTCCTCCCTGGGGTAGAATTATAGATGCGCATTCATTATGGCACCTGTCTACAGCGGTTATAGCACCTTTCTGGTATCAATTCCTGGTCGACGATTCACGAGATGAGAGTTGGCGGGAGCATAGAGTCTAATTATCCCGGTTTCCACTTGGAAATCCCCACTGTGTGAGTGTGCAGGAATCATTTCATGTGGCATTTGAGTGATGTTTCCAAATTAGAGTAACTTTCATGGACGTTTAAGCTGGCAAAATTATTGTATCACCATGCACATTCATTCAATGTTATTCTTTTGTTGAAACCTGATAAAATGAGTGACTATGGCAGTGCAACAGATCAGTTTCCTTGTGCCGTCCCAACCTCGGCTTGTGCGAGATCACATGCAACAGAATGTGTCGCTCTCACTGTCGAGCATGCATGTCTACGCGACGTCCGTGGTAATCCAAGTATTTGGTGCCAAGTGCCGATGGGAAAAACCCTGGGGTAATAGAAGACTAAACTTGACGTATGTATCATACGCTCACAGTTAAAGTTTTCTCTGTTAGTGGAAACTCTCATCGTTATTCCGAACTTTGCAGAAGATTTTTCCGTAGCCGTTGAATTCAACACCTGGTGCCAAGAAATGGGCCCCCCGGACCGTCGTCTGCGATAATGTATAAAAGTTTGAGATCAAGATGGCGGAGCTCAAGTATGTTCTTCCAAGCTTTTTCGGTTTCGGCAGTAGTCTGTTTCGCATTGGTTCTTTCATCTCCAATACCTGACCAAGAAACTACTGCCCTTGCAAAGCGTGGTGCAGTGCTCTCTGGACAGTGGGATACAGAATCTGAGGTTGGTCGGCCACTATAGATTGCTAGTAGGACACTGAAGCTTTTTTTTACCTGTAGGATGGCGGGTATGTCTGATTCTTCGTTTCCTCGCCACCCTGTCGGCAATTCAGGCGGTTTCTTCCAGGCGGTTTATCCTGGAAAATAATCTGTGGGGTATGAGTGCTGCTACTAGCGGTTCGTGGTACTCGCTTCCCACCCAAAATCATCTCATATAATCCGGTCACTTGCCAGGCTCTCAGAACTCTCAAGTCACGGCAACGAGCGGAAACACAATCACTTGGCATACTACGTATACATGGCAGGGTAATTCATACTTCTTATGATCTTCTGGTACAGATGATGATCCAATGCTGATAGGCGGGAATTCCGATGTGAAGAGCTGTAAGTTTCTCCTTCAGACTAATGTTTCGTCTCATCCTCAATAGGTTTTCAGACGCAAACTTGGACCTACGTGTTGGACTTGGTAAAAGTATATCTTCTATCGGCTCCATCCCTGTTACTTGGCAATGGAGTTATAGCAATGCTTCCTCTGGCTTGGTTGCAGATGTCTCCTATGACCTTTGGCTTTCGAATGTCGCCTCTTCTAGTGGCGCCTCGTCGACCTCTACTTACGAAGTGTATGTCCGATTTTCTACAAGATGCTATATGCTGCTGAACTCGGCTCCCTAGTATGATTTGGTTGAGCACTCGTGGAGGGTTTGTCGAAAGTAACTAATTGGGGCATACGTTTTCTCAGTTTTTATTGCAGTGCCGGACCGGCAGGCTCTCAGATTGGCACGGCGACGTAGGATCATCTCTCCCGAACTCCACTGCGCTGCTTGTCTCACTCATCTTACAGTATCAATGGTGTTACATGGAAGCTATACCAAGGCACTGTCTCCACTTGGACCGTCTACTCGTTCGTAGCTCCCAACGAGATCTCGAGCTTCGATTCTGATCTCAAACCATTCCTGAGTGAGCCCAAACTACGGCTCTTGTTGCGTGGCTGTTCAACTACTCAACTATCTGATTAGCCTATCTTACGTCCAATCGCGGTGTTTCGTCGTCTCAATTTCTGGTTCAAGCTCAGGGAGGTACCGAGCCCTTCATCGGTACGCGTTTTCGTCTTAGGCGAGGACTATCTACTTATATTCATTGATCAGGCTCCGCTACGCTTAGCACAAGCGCGTACGCTATTTCAATCAACTGAGTGTTTGGTTGCAAGAAGTATATAGCTTACCCGTATCTGTGAAGAATTCAAATTTAGTTGACGCATGTACTGGCGGTGATATCCTGTTTTGGTCTTTCACCTTTACACTCTACTGCTCTGCATGCCCATCCATCCATCATAAACTGAATGAATTACAGATGAGAGACCTCCATAAAGGACCACCCGACTAGATTTCGACTCCACGGTGTCATCCACGACCCTGATTTTAGCGCTGACAATTTGAATGCGCTGCCTGTAGTATCGACTGGCGTCGAGCGCGGCTATCTTCCCAGCACTGACACCTTCCTCCGTGCCACAGCTACGCAACGCTGTATGTCCGAGTTGGGAAAAGCCCATGGTAGTGTGAAGGTATCCTGCGAGTACGGAGTGAATTTGGAGTGTCTGAGGTGTCGTTCGGGTGTGGAGAGGAGGTTGCTGGAGGGAGAGGTATGTGGACCTCGCATCGTGCATCGACCTCCTTGGAACAACATAGGGCTGGAGGTTGCAAATCAGCCACCTGTTTAAGTTTGAATTGGTCTTGGTCTGCTCCCGTAGGCAAACAGTCGAGCGCTTCGCGTGATGCTTGATGTCCACCGCACATCGACCTCCTTCGTAGAGAAATGTAGGGCTGTACGTCGCCTGTAAGTTCCTTGCAACCTGTTTGAGTCCGTGTTGGTATTAGTGGACGATCTAACATGACTGCTGAGAAGAGATCTGACTTGAACATACGTATAATCAGCTAAGGGAAGGAGGTAAGTGACATCAAGACTCACAAAGAACAAGCAATATATCACACCGTCCCGAGTCTCTTCAACCATGTTGGTATGGTTCATCTTCCATAGGGCTTATTCTGGTGTTTTTCTGCACTGTGGGAAGTCGTGGGTCGCGTGGCGATAAACGAAGCCTTTCTTTGCTGTCTCCTCTTCGTATCTGTCGCGTTCACAAGACCCAGTAAGTCAGCAGCGAGTACTCTCATGTCAACCGTCTTTCTTCCTCCGCTTCTGCAATCTATGTCTGCTCCAGATCTTGTTCATTCCTTCGTTTTGCAAGATTTGACAGCTAGCTGTGCTCTAGATTTGTCCTCGACGTTCGACTAATGATACTGTCTTGGAATTTAGCATGCTGCGGAAGGAGGGAAGAGAAGGCGAACAATTGTTGGGTAAAGGACATGTCCCTGACGACCAAACAAAGGACAACGAAATCTTTATTGTTCTCGACGACGTGCTACCTCCGAACAAGAACAATGACCGTCAGCACCAAGGATACCGCAGCCGCCAAAGGACCACCTTATTGTGGATCGATACGGCGTTATCATTCCTTCTTCTTTTTTCGCTTACCACCACCACTTCTGCCAAGGCCATGCTAAGCCTACTAATATTTTCTTTCCTTTTCTACGTCGCGTCTGTTGGTGAGTATTTCGTTCCACGGGTAGGATACAATGCTGATTTCACACAAGTCGCATCTTCTTCCTCGTCAGTAGTCTGCGTTGCAGGACAATGCCTGCAGGGCTCCTCCAATACCACTCGCGCGTCACATTCTTCTCGTCTTTTTCTCCCGCCGTAACTCTTTGTTTTTTCGTGCAGTGGGTGTCACTCTGACATCGTCGGATGAATCAACGACTATTCTCCTTCTCCCTGGCCAGTATGCATCAACGACGAACCCTGAGCTTCTCCACGAAATGCTAATTTCAACGTCGGGATCTCTATCTCCCTCGCCTGGCTTCAACTCGTCGGGATCTATCGATCTTCCTCTGGACGTCACTCTCGAAGCAGGATTGGCTATTTACTCTGGAGGCCTGTACTCCGGTACTGCAGCTTTCACAACTCTACCATCTGCTCCCGTATCCAATTCATCGACATCTCTATCCGCCGCATCCCTCGCACTTTCATCCACTGTTTGGGCGGCCATAGACATCGGGAGCGAGCGTGTCATACTCTGGGAGTCCGTTCCAGATGTCGGTCAACTGCCGCTCTCGGGATCACTTTCTCTTCTTGACTTACAATCTTCTGCCTGCTCCCCCTCGTGTTCGAGTTCGGGTGTGTGTTCCGCTTCGGGAACTTGCACTTGTCCTACCGGATTCACGGGAGAGTCCTGCGAGTCCTGCGCCTCGGGTTTCTATGGTCCTGAATGCCAAGCGTGTCCTTCTGATTGCTCCGAATGCGACGAAGGTATTTCGGGGACTGGGATATGCTTGGTCATTGAGATTTTGAACACGCCGGAAACTTGTAACTGTATAAACGGCGAATGTGGTTCGAACGGCGGGTGTACGTGTAACACCGGCTGGACCACGGCAAGTAATGGGACCGCATGTGCAAAGTGCTCTGAAGGATTCTATTTGACATCCAGTGGTGATTGTAAAAGTGCGATATCAATCTTTTTTCGTCTCTCAGACAGATACTTACGCGATTTATAGTTTGCGAGTTGGGCTGCACATCATGTGCCGATTCCACAGGAACCTGTCTTGCCTGCAAGACCGGCTTTACGCAGGACGCGAACGATAAAACAAAGTGTGATGCGGAGGAGTCCACAACATCGTCCGGTACTGTGTGCCCTGATGGCAGTTTTGGTAATAACGGGACAAGCTGCACCGCATGTTCTTCAGCATGTTCGACCTGTAATGGAGCCACGTCGAACGACTGTATCATTTGTGCAACGGAATCGTACACGTTTAATGGTAGCTGCGTTTCGGCGGACAGCACGGGGGTCTGCGAAGGTACCAACCTTATTGCCGACAATAATAAACGTGCTTGCGATGGTAAGCTCTTGTACTATTTGATCTGCCATCCATTTGACTTTGAGTGTCCATCGTCTTTAGCATGTGGAGCTAAGTGTACTTCGTGCGAAATATCGGATTTTAGCGTCGCCTCGACGGTTGACGAGCTGAAGTGCACAGCTTGTCTTACAGGCTCTTTCCTTTCCGATGGGCAATGCGTGGACAGCTGCCCCACCGGTACTTTTCTTTCCCCCAAGGACAATGTCACCTGTACCAGTAAGCTGATGTCTAGCTAGTTGTTCATTCAAGTTATTGACGGTATTCACAGGTTGCGACTCGTCATGCTCCACTTGCTCGGGTTCGGCAACATTCTGCCTAACGTGTGCTAACAGCAAGCTTGCTTCCGATGGGAGCTGTGTTAGCTCATGTCCATCCGGTACATTCTCATCTTCCGGCTCCTGCCTCACCTGCCACCCCGACTGTGCGACCTGTTCAGGCTCGTCCTTCAATCAATGTTCCTCCTGTCCATCTGACCGCCCGGTCCTTACGAACGGACGATGTCTCCCCACATGCAGTGAATCCGAATACTTCGACAGCACCTCCTCCTCGTGCACGTCCTGCGATTCGAGCTGTTCGACTTGCTCCGGACCCGATTCCAGCGAATGCCTTTCTTGTTCCAGCTCCACCCAGTACCTACGCTCCGGCACCTGCGTTGATGCGAACTGTACGAACTCGACTAGTGTCATATCCGGGCTCGGAGTGTGCCTATCAGAGCTCGTACTTACCTCGACAAGAAGCTCAGATAGTCCTACCACCGGTGTTTCAGATCCGACGGTGATAAAAAGCAACAGTAATAAGCGCACCTGGTGGCAAATCTTGCTTATGACATTAGGCTGCGCGTTCATATTCCTGCTCTTTGTCATGTGCTGGCGCCGAAGGGCCCGTCAACAGCGTGCCAAACGCACCGCCATGTTCGCCACCGCAAAACGGCTGGATCACAAGCTGAACTGGCGCTGGCGGCTGATTCGATTCGGGGAAAAGTTGTTTGGTCACCGGCGAAGTGAGCGAGCACCTCCTGAAACAGAGGAGATGAAGTTGATGAGGGTGGAGGAGGCACGGCATCACGACGAGATTGAGAAATTAGTCGGGTCGTACACGCGGCATGTCCCGGACGACGCGACTATCGTTTCCGGGCCGTCGATATACTCGCAAGTCACAGGAAGGCCTAGACAGACGCCTGATGTCCGACAGCCCGTAAAGAAGGATGAAACAGCGCGGTTCTCGGCGAATACATTTACCTCCACATTGGGGTCTCGAGATCGAGAATTGTCGCCACCCCCACGCTCTGATGCGGAGGCGTATGCTCAGGCTGTTCGATCGCCTGGTAATTGGATCGAGCCGAATCTGACTGGAGCTTCACGCAATCCTTTTCGGAGGTGACAGGTATGCGATGGACTGCCGGTTCCCCCTCATTTAGTCCTTTGTTGTACACCCTACGAGCATCTTGTTTTGATATCACGACTGTGATTTTAATGTAGCGATAGTTGGATAGAGCATTTATTAGAGTGTGTCAGTTGACGCTCACGGGATTGCTGTCAAGCGGATTATGAAACGAGTAGGGTGGGTTGTGTGTGGACGATGTGATGAGCCCGCGGCCGAGCTGTTGATTTCGAGAGCCAGCCGAGTATGTAGAGATGCAGAACAATATGAGGGTCATATGAGGATGAGTACTGTATTCGTTGATTGTCCTCAGGTTCGGCAGGGGTAACCTCAGGGAGGAATGTGCAAAGGTTAATTGTTGGGATCACGATTGTGTTGAAATTCGATTTCATCTACACCCTCGTAAATGAACATGTACTCTTGTATAGCAGCGAAGTAATCAAGACATAATTTTAGGATCATAATAGCTAGCAGAGTGCATAGAAGTCGTTGAATGTAAGAATGGGGAAAAACGCGTGACAATGGGTGTCATACAGTGGCATTCTCACTCGGCATCTTCCATTGCCTTTAATGAAAAGACCAGACCCTCTTAAGAGGTTTACTACATTTTTTTTAGAGACGGGAGATAACGGAAGATGTCCGATTGTTTGCATTATCTACTGTATTGGCTATTCCCTCGGGCCGGAAAAATATTGAGATCGATCAAAAACCGCATTCCGCTGCATTTTTGACTTGAATTATGGCTTTGACATGCCCAGGGGGGTCTTTCATGGGTGCTTACTATGGTTTTGTGCCTACGAAGCCTGCCATCATTGTTTTTCAACATAGAAATCTTGATTTGGCCAGGAGGGAAATAGGGAAATATATTTTTGCACTTTCGATCGATCATTTAACCATTCTTGAGCGCGTTTGGTTTCATATTTCTACGTTCTAGTGTTCACGTGAAGGGTAAACGAGGATACTATGCCACATATATAACGTCGAAGAAGATTGGAATGAAACCAAAAAGGTAAGCCGAGGAAATTGAGGCGAGACAGCAACGCCAAGATCTGGAATGTAAGCATTGACAAAGAAAGCTGTCTCGAGGCGCGCAACGCGTCTGATATCCAGGACCCGTCTTTCCTTTTCGGACTCGCCATAAAAATAGGAATTTCAACAAGGCTGTTTGGATAAATATTTCCAATCGGAGGCCGGTTTTTAAAAAAAAAAAAAAGACAAAAGTGGGTATCAGTTTGATGGCCGACGCGGAAGGATCCTGGTGACCTGACATTTTTCGTTTGGTTTATAACTAACGCACATGTGCATGGGTTAGCGTTCTTTTTTCTCCTCGGTGCATCCGCGACGTTCGTCGTCGCCCAGCAGTAATCATTGACGAATACTTGAAACGGCTTTGGGAGGGCGCCCTTGCGCTTTGCCATCCGATGGCTGCGCTCGTCCAGCGCGCTTCGTTCAAGTTTGACTGGGCGTATGCAGAGGATATCCCTGGGACTCGATGTGGGCCCGACGATGGGCCATGGCCGCGGTCGTATCAGGTGCTGAACGAGGACGAGGTGTGGAAGGAGCTGAGGACACTGGCGAAGCCGCAGAGCGTGGCGCTTGGCAAGGGACGAGCTGACAGCGTCAATTTCCAGCCGTCACCGTCGACTAAGACACAGGATCGATACGTCGTGAAGAAACTACGGGTGGGGACCCGTGACTGGTCACTGACCGGTGTCTTTGACGGTGCGTGGCTGTTTCACTTTTTCTCAGCTGTACATTTGCTGACTCAACGCCAGGCCATTTGGGTGACGTTACTGTCGAGCACGTTTCTTACCATCTTCCTATAATCGTTGCCGAGTTCCTGCAGAACGCGTATAAAGCTGACCCGACGCGGCTGGACGACCCTGCATTTATATCGGACCTGTTTTCGCGCTCGATTGTCGCCTTTGACGATGCCATCGCCGGCGACGTGTTGGATCTCTTTGGTGGCATCGAGGGCCTCGCTCAGTACTCGGATGCCGATATCCGCAGAGTCATCAACGATCACCACCAAGGAGGTGCGAATTTCCGCAAAGCAAGGCTAAATATGTACGGGACAACTGCCCTTGTCGCCTTGGTTGACCCTGACCACGGTAACCTTTGGGTGGCGAACCTGGGAGACTGTCAAGCGAGTGAGTAATCCTACCCCGCTCTAGCGTGACTTGATAATCTTTCCACAGCCCTGGTTACGGCTTCGCAAACCGACCCCGACGCGTGGGACATCAAGGTCCTGACTACGGAACACAATGGATATAACGCTGCTGAGATCGAGCGTGTTCGTCAGCAACATCCAGACGAACCGGAGTGTGTCATCGACGGTCGCGTCCTCGGCGCACTGGCGCCTTTCCGTTGTACGTCCCATCCTCCCGTCAAATTACATGTACTGATTTATATCCTTTAGGCCTTGGCGATACACCGTTCAAACAGCCACCGGAGTTTACCCGTCGGATCCTCTACAACCTATCCCCGGGATTTCCAGACACCTCTCCTTGGGAGGAGTTTCTTGTACGAAACCGCACGCCACCGTACATATCTACTGAGCCCGAGATTGTGCACACGCAGCTCGGAGCTGATCCGTCCTGTCCAGAGCGCTCGAGATTCCTCATCTTAGCCTCTGATGGATTTGTTGACTTGTGCGGCAATGAAGGTCAGGAAAAGATTGTCAGAGATTGGGTGCGGGGCATGCAAGCTAACGAGGAGACTCACCCTGGTTCAGGGAATATGGCGCTGAGGCTTCTGCGCCGCGCACTGGGTGGCGAAGACAGGTTTAAAGTGTCCAAGGTGTTGACACTCAACATGGACGTGGCATGGATCGACGATACCGCTATCGTCGTCCAAACATTATGATTCTACGCATCGTAAGGTCTCTTTGTGGATTTCTCTTTGGGGGGCATTTTTGTTGTCGATACTTATTTCTTTTCGCACGCTTGCACACCACACCATTCTAGCATACATTCTTAATCTCGGCATACCGTACATTTCACATATTCCCCTGTTGTTGTAGCTGTGTTTTACGCTTGCTGTGTCCAACTGCTTTGTTTCATGATGTACCTAACAAACTATCATTCTTCATACTGTCCATCGTTCAATACAATAGCTTATCATTCATTCAAACACATTGCAAGGTCCTTGAACCATGTGTATTGATCCTTTGGGGTTGTATACCTTGTCTTCATGGCCGCCGAAGAATGTGCTAAGGAATTGGATCAAGATCATTAGCTGAGGTTAAAATAGATGTGAGTGTACCTGAAGAAAATAACCAATGAATCCGGCCACCGAGGGAGGTACCCGATGAGCCTTCGGCAACAACAAAAGGGCTTGTAGAAGTTGATGCGAGATCGACGGGACCATCCACGTTCACCGAGACTTGCCACTGCTTCTCGTCATTTCGCGGGCCAAGAATCCCACCCAAGAGACCCACCACCACCACCACCGTCTTCATGATGGGAATCATCATCAATCGAGCTCGACTGCTTCGGTTGAGCGATGTCACGATAAAACACGTCAGAGCGGCCAATAACTATGATGCCGTTGACATCGAGCGTTGAAACACCCGTCGGTTAGGCCAGTGGTGTTCAGGACGACAGTTTTGCGAAACTCGTCGTCCGGCCTCCTCTGGCCCAGACAAATGAGCCTCGACCGATAGAGAAACCATAAACAGTGGTGCAGACAGATTGAGGATCATCGCAGAGATTTTTGGTCTGTTTGTCAGGATGGTGTCAATTCATAATTGAGTGCTAAGGTATTGATCATACCAAGTAAAGTTCACCCTTGCCATCCTTCCTCCACATCAACCGAGTACTGAAGGAATTTGCAGCAGAGACGCCTCCCGAACCCCCCCCACCCATGACCCACCATACAACCCTGATAGCTTTCCTGCCAACACCCAATCAAAGTCCACGGAAAAGAACGCACTAAAATTCAACGTAACGTTCCTCGCTTGCTTGATACCGCGTAGAACTGCACGCCACCGTGTGGCCTGACCTCGTTTCCAGGGTTGATAGAACCAGCAGGATACAACACCTGAAGGACAGACGTTTCGTTATCAATTGTAACTACTTGGGGGCGATCCGTCAGGTGCAGGTACGACCACGTCCGAAAAAGAGGCGACGCCAGCGACGATTCGGAGATTCGGGTTATCGGGGAAGCTCAGGACGCTAAATGAAGAAAGATCTGCCATCTGAGAAGGTTGCGACCATGTTGTCGGCGAAGGTGAAATAGAAGGTGTTGATGATGGGAGATAGACCGTGACTACGTCGGTGACGGTCGAAGAAATCGCGACTGACATTTGAAGTAGTAGTTAGCGACCCTGTGGAAGCCTGAATGATCACGAGAGAAGATGATATAGGCGCGTTCTCAGCCAGTCGTGCAGGGATAGACACCGTGTTTGGATGGTAGGGAGCGGTAGAGTGGATGCAGAATAGTTCGTGGTAGGAGTGACAGGAATAGCAAGAATAGAGCGAGATAGCAGAACGAGGGCGCACAGCGCCTGGAAGGTCATCAAGACCATGATGACGAAGGCGAAAGCGAAGGGAAGCACCACGTCCGTATTGGGAATTTGTCCGTTCCCGATATGGGCATGAACGCTAGCTGAAATAATGTCCGGAAGTTGCCGGATGTAATAATTTAATGTCAACATTGACACCTGTCACATCGAGTACGTAATCCTCTAGAGCTCCGGGTTTCAATACTAGAGACAGGGTCTAGTCAGCGGCTATATCGAATGCTACTTAGGCCGCTGCTTATGACATATACATCGGAGGCAGCCAACAAATGTCCCAAAATAGTGTGCTACCACAGGTTGCCATTTATCAGCTAAACCTGTTGAGCTTGTTCCAGCTTATTTTCCAGTTTGCGACCAATGCACCATCCCAAAAGGCAGCAAGACGTGGCGGTGATTACCTGTTTTGGCACTCACTTTAGCCCAGCCAATTACTTTCGTGTACAGATATGGCCGCAACATTAACGGGCCTTCCCAACGAACTCCTCACCATTATTGTCCACCAGATCTCCACTCAAGACAGGTTATCTCTTGCCCATCTTTGCCGTAGACTCAACCGTTTCGCCTTGTCCTACCAATTTTACAAGAAACATATTACATCGTACAACTCATTTGGCAGCAATGGCCGCATATTTTCCGACATTTGCCACCTTCGATTATATCTCACAACAGAGACTCCCTTCCCGGTCATAGAGCTCGCGTTCACGTCCCAGTTCGAGAAGGATATGGCCCAAGTTCAGCATTATCTGATCCCCTTGCTTTTCACATTCAGTTCCTTGCCGAAGAGCTGTGTGACAGTCCCTGGAAAGATGGCACAATAGAACCATCCATAAAGCGATTTTCTAGCTTCTGTAAGGGCCTTGTCCGCTGGAAATGTTTCTCCCTCGCTTTTCCCGACTTTGACGCATACCAGCTGGACAAAGTACAGCGTCCTTTGATGTACTGCCCCTCACCACGCTTCAGAAGGCGACTTTCAATTGGCTAAACTCACAACGTCTTGCCAAGTGGTTCGTTCAATGTATCAATGCATCTCCTATCGAAGTGCTGTGTATATCACACCAAATGGACAGATATCTTCCCAAGCTCACGTTCAGAAATCTTTGGCACATGACATTCCGTGACTGTGCAGAGAATGCATCCGTCTTCTCTTCCTTCATATCGCGCCATGCCACCACTCTGCAGATTTTGGAACGTCCCTCATCTTTCGCATTGCCAGACAAAGGGCACACACTGGCGACGATGAGGCTTAAGTGGGTTCTCCACCTCACAACCATCGCCGGTCCCACATTGCTGCTTACAGCCGTACTCTTGTCAAAGGAAGCATTTCCGTGCCTGGGAACTGTCGAAATCATAGAAACAGGTCGATTGTGGGTGGGAAGCGAAAGACAGATGGAAGATATGCGGGTCCTCTTACGTATGATATCCTGCATACCAAGCGAGCATTCGATGGTTGAAGGCCCCTTTTGTTGACCTCATGGAAACCGTCTCAGAATATCTGACTGGCTCGATACCAGTCATTCCTGACATCGAACGTTTGAATGTAACAGAACCATGGCGCGTACCAGAGGAGAAGCGAAATATGCAAATTGCTGTCTCGTCTCTTCCCTCGTTTGACGGAGCATAGAGAAATATGGTGTGAACCGTATGACTGTGATTCTCCGTACGGCAGATATCACCCGCTTTTGACAAGACGGTAGGACATCAGTATCCGTCATTCCAGTTCAATGAGCGAGAGGAACGTGATTAGGACCTATATTTTAACGGAAAATTAAGTATTGCGGTCCACTACATAGCATGTACTGGGACAATCAGGAGAAAGAGACTAAGGTGAAAAATTAAGGCGATGCGGAATCATTTCTCAGTCCAACCAAGAATTCGTTGATTTGGCAAGTTGTAAATGATTCACTGACAACACATATTGAAATTTTACTCCCAATGGCGACGGGAACGTCTTCAGAACAATTGGCGGCCAAGTTTCAGGTAGGTAGACCACTGGCAGTCAGTCAAAATGTAAGAGGTCAGAAACGAAGTTGTACATCCAAAAACACTGCTAGTGAGGCGGATTATAGTATATACATCAAAAATAAGCATACATCTAGCTAGGAACCTCACGCTAGCGTATGTGGTATACATTTAGAAAGCCCGAGCTCGTACCCTCACTGCTCCGCCATAGAAAGTTGTCTGGAAAGTTCCATATCTCTAGGAAAATCCCATCTCGTCCTGGTCTGACTGGGACCCACTCGCTTCAGCGTGTATAAACCGCTCAAATAATAACCCTCTGGCATCCTGATAAGCATCTGAGGCTTCGTGCCAGTCCTCGTCTCCTCGTCTCCCTACCCTTGGGTCAACTTGTTCCTCGACATCTTCGTACACCACACCGCGGGCCGCCTTCGACATTGCCTTCCGGCGCTCTGAAGTGGTCGCTTTGGCCTCGCGGAACCGCTTTATTATTACCATCTGCTCCTCTAAGGTGCTTCGTCTCACTTCCTCAAACCCTTCTGACATACGCGAACTTCTTCGACGCTTCTCCTGCTTCTGACCAAGACCAGGCCGAATACTTTTATAAGCGCCACATATGGGAAGGGTCACGATACCAAGAGCTCCTGCCGAGGGTTTAATGACTATGTCCGCAACTAGAGAGTCGTCTCAAATCACGATCAGGGAAGAATCCTTCAGAGACTTACAGCTCCGAGCAGATCCTCTGAGTGCGCCGACAAATCCATCTTTCTGGGCACCCTTAATGGGCTCACGCACAAGTCCCGTAACTCCGTCATACAAGCCGTATGCAAACCCCTGCACAAGACAGTGAGTAACGACAGACAATTGCCATAAAGCTAACCTTTCCGGCTTCTTTAAGCCCGCTCTTGAAATTAGTTACCTTACCGGGTTCTCTTACTTGAGAACCATACAGCCTCGGCGCATTCTGGAAACCATGATGTATATTCACCACAATCTTTATCATTCCTGATGAAGAACTTAAGGGCATCTGAGAACTGCTTGGACAAGCACGAACCATGTGGAAGGGCAGTTGTCGATTGTATGATGCCAGAAACAGGGGAACTGGCAGCCCAAGTCAGCACGTAACACTGAACAGAATGTACACTAGAGACGAACTGGAAGATCTTCGCAATCCCAGCACAACAGTGAGTAATCGTCCAAAAAACCGCACTTGACGTGCCGGTTATGGGATCCGAAATGTCTTTGCGTAGTTTATACTCCTTGGAACCTGCCAGAATTAAATGTACGCATAAGCAACGAGAATATGCTAGTTCACGTACGATGCACATGCAAGCTTCCCATATCAAGCTCTCGTGCGGCAGCTAAGACATGCGCGGCAAAAGCACTGAGCCTCAGGCACTGCCAGAAAGAAATCCGACTCAGAAAAGAAAAAGAGGAAATAGATTGAAGCCTACATATTTCGGGGACCACCAGATCCCTATCCGTGAAGGATCCAGGTCACATCTCATATTTTTCAAAGGGAGATGGCGATAGAAGCTCTCCGCACCGCGGTTCACACCATCCTAAATGTAGGTGAAAATGAATTTCAGATAGTATCTGGAAAATCGACCAACCTCATGCTGGATCTGTTCTGCCATCCTTCGTGCCGCACTCTTTGCAGCGGGGCTGACA